TTTTTTTTTTTATCTTTGACTTTTTTATTCTATTAGACAATACCCAACACATATTTTTGAAGCATCCCAGTCGGTATAAAAACTTCATTTAAAAAAGATCCACAAAGCTCAGCAGGTCAAATGTGAAGAGTGAAGGACAGCTCTGGGGTGTTTGCCTATCTCAAAGTGTGTACAATTGTCCCTATTATGGGAACTTACAGTGCACTGGTAATGAAGAGCCTCTCATTAAATGCTACTTTTGCGACAGTCATTCCCTCAGTGATGCAGGAGTGCTTGGAAGGCAGTAAAGGGAGCAACCCTGACTGAAGCTACTCATATGGACTTCTGAGTAAAAGCTTATTTCATGCAAGGTTAGACACATCAGTCACTGGACAGGGGACTGGCTTTTACTGCCTTTCAATAAGATTACACATGGAACATGTCCACATAGTGAAGAGAAACCTGGAAATGAAATGTCTCCCCTATAGGACTCTGCGGCTGGTGTGATCGCTGCCAGCAGTTGAGCTTAAAATTCCGTGCATGTATCTGATCAAAAAACCCAGCCGTTCATGCCTGTGCCAAGTCCTTCTCTCTTTTTTTTTTATTTCTACAGCATGCTCCATAGTATCAGGACATTAATGAAATCAGGCATGAATGTCATGGTAAATATGGCCAGTAATTAAGCCTGAAAGCATCAATGAGCTGTGAAGGGTCAGAAAAACTCAAACCCCACCAAATCAAGATGTGCATAAACAGTTTGGCTTGGACAGGAATTTAATGTCCAGTACTCATAACATGTTTGCACATCAGTGACACTGTGATTCAAACTGTTGTCACAGCACAAACTCACACACACTTTGTCTTATGTTCAGGCCTGGTGTCCTTCTTTAATAACCTTCATGTATCATCACTCACTCAGGACAAATGCTTGTGACATCATTTTCTGTTTGTTATCTCAGCAATAATTAGCTAACATTGACTATTCTCTAAGCCACTGTTCATACCATGCATTTTCATGCAGTAACCAAACTGCAAATGGTGAAATCCACCAAGTTCAGCTGAGCAGAAATGTTTGAAAACATGAAAGAATTAGAGATTTTTTTTTCTCCCTTACTGAACGCCTGATTAATTTTAAAGCAAAATCATCCTGTGTAGGATTTGACTCATGAGACTCAGCAGTGAATCATTTCCACTTCTTAAAGTTCAATTCAAGGCTTTGATGCCCAAAATAGGCCCGTCTCGTTTCCTCTTCCTTATTACCCACCAGATTTTCAAATAATCATTAACAGGCTGGAAATAAAAACTGATGGCACAGCATATAAGAGAAATGGCAATCCTGCTTAATTGTTAATGCTTCCATGTTAGGTAATTGTAGGTATACACACACAGTACATGGATATGTACAATTTTACTTTATAGATTTATTTTTATTTCTTTGCGCCTCAAAGCTATAATATCTAAATATTTTTTTAAAACAAAATGATGGTGAGAGCCACTACAGGTTTGAATGGTAGGTGATTGTAATGAATACTTCCTAGTAAAGACATTTTTAACTGACAATCTGGAGCAACATGAAGCAAAAATGCTACCTGAAACCTGCCAGTTATTTTCACCCTGTCCTTCAGTTACCTTAGCTAATAGCTGGCTGGCTATTGTGTAGACTAAGTCAACCAATCAGAGGCAGTTCAACAGCACCAATGCCTTGCTGTACTATAAAAATATAGTTACATACGTCATACTGCGAGCCACTAGTGCAAACGCTGCCGTTTAATAAAGAAAGAAGAAAGGCAAAGTATATGTTTTTCAGGTTACAACAAAGCCAAATCTAGAGAGGTTGAAGCCAAATATAAGGCAAATACATATTTCCATGAAAAGTGGAGGGGAATGTAGCAACAAGCAATAGCCACAAATATTAATGTGGTAAATTCCAAATGACTTTCAAGGGATTTATTGATCAAGCCAGCTAAAGAAATGGTCACTGTTATTAAAAAAAAAAAAAGAAAGTTTATTTCCACTTTCTCAAGGTCTTTTAGTTCACATTAACAAGGACAAGGCTGAATTTACAAGTTTAAGTTAAAAGACGTATCCAAGGCTAGCCTTACAGGCAGGCTAGCACTTTGTAGCTAAGTTATTAAGCTACATTTTTGTCTTTAAATACATCAAAGGTAAGGACACAGCACTGTTCGACAGAAGCACAACAAGCAGCATATGCTAGCAACAGAAGACACTAATAAATTCTGAGGTTTGAACTAGCTCATAGACTGGTGTATCACATGGTGTTTTTTTTTTTTATTTCAATCTTTTTTATCAGTCCTTCTCCCAATTCTCCTAGCTACACACTCTAGGATAGTAATAAAAATGTATTTTATTAGGATGTAAATAGTAAATTTCTAGTGTTTTGTGCCAGTGACGTTGACACCAGGGTTTTATATCTTCAGTTAACCATTATCAAATCATTTATGCAGACCACAGTTTGGTTCTTGGGTTCGTATTCAAAGTCTCGGACTCAGCTCAAACCAACCTAAATTAACTTCACCTGAGGCGTAAACACTCCAAAATGCAATTCGGTCCGATTAAATAAGTGTGTTGTAAACAAACCCGAAGTTTTCCATTTAGTTCTAATGAAAGAAAACAGGCTGTAAGGATATGAAACCTTTTGGAAGAACCAAATACGTGCCAAACTTCCAAGGTAATCGACTCTCACCAAAGACCAATTTCAGTGACTAAAGTTGTTAAATGAAGCTTTTGTTTTTTTCTTTTTAAGGACATGCAGTTATGGAAATGACAAGTGTAGTTGGTGCCATGATTAGCCTCATACAGCCTTAGATTAGTATCCTAGCACCCTGGTTTATTGGTGACATTAATAAAGGTAAAGCTTCTAATTTTGTGAGCAATTTGAAAGGGATTTGAACTTCCTCCAGCAGATTTTCTCAAAATTACTACAGTACATCTCTTAAAAACCTGTCTTGGTAATGATAAAAGAGCACTCTTTAGCCTGAGTCGATCAATGCTTTAAGGCCACTCATTTCAAAAGCTGTAATGTAAAACTCTGATCTATTATTCCCCTATCATTATTCTTTTAATTTTAAGATATAAATACTGAATTTCACGAAATTACGAGTCGGACGAAATTCTGATGCTGCTCCGTTAGCAAGACTGGAATAATAGACATCAGAGATAATAGCATTGTTATCATTAAAACCTTTCACAGTGTAATAGCATTTGGAGAAGCCAATAGGGTTTTAAGGTAATTTCAATATTCCAAATAAACCTGCTGAGCTAAATAGCACAAAAGTGCCACCATGCGCCATCTTCAAGCTTTTAGCATTTAGCTTCATTTGTATAATATCATTAAGGAGCAGTGGAGCTTGCTTTTTGTGTGATTTGCAGAGCAGCAGATGTTCAGGCTGAGTAAATCAGACAGCCCTTTTATTCTGCCAAATAGGGAATTAGTCCGTGCTCCAAGACACCACAGGAAACACAGGACACATAAATCAATGAAGATGGGAAGACATCAAGGTACCCGCAGTAGTTAGCTCAACTCATAATTGTTAGCCGGACCACCTGCTGTTCGTCAATCATCAGCGGGACTGCATGTTTCTTTGGTCTGCCACCATCCAGACTTTGCTGTTGGGGTCAGTTTGATCAACACAATTGGACGGAAACACACAGAAACATGTACTTAAGCTTTGTGCAGTCAATGCTTCTTAAGATCCCAATCAGCCTCTACAAGATGTAATGTTTATTTACACCTGCCGGCTTTCTGTCCTTTCATTTTACCCTCTTAATATTCATGCTTCATGGTGCAAACAGTGGCAACAAACAGCGATGTTGTTTGATTGTAGTTGAACTGCGTTCAAACAACAGCGCTGCGACTGAACCTAGCGCAGCATCTCCCCTTGATTTATTTGAATATTTTGTCATGATCTAATCAAGGAACACGTTTGTTGATATGACTTGCTTTATGCCAACAGTCTGATGCTCAGATCAAACAGCTGTCTTCGTTTTTGTAGTCCACCGATTTACCATGTAATTAGTAGAGATGTGAGCTCAGAGCAGAACGTGATCAGATGTGAGGTCAGTCTTTCTGGGCTCAAACTACTGTTAGAAACAACAACCTGAGGCTACAAAAGAAGTAAACATTTAAATTTCCCCTTCTTATCAACGGCTAATGCATTGTACTGTGAAATGTACTAACATAAGCTGTGTTTTTTTATGCATTATGTGCTCTGCATATTTTCACTTGATATAATACCTCATTAGAAAGGCACTGGCGAAAAGTAATGTTAGTTTTCTAATTAAAACATGTAATTGCATGAGCTTTTCAATCCTTAAAATGTTTTACAGCGTTGTTGCTGTGACGTAAAACGGAAGCTACAAATTCCTAACCTACTGTAATATCCTTGCCCTACGTTTTTAATCCTGATGTCAGGACTGATTTTTACATTGTCCTTCTATGGGAGACCAAGAACAGCTCAGAATACATTTGTCTAACAACACATACAAAATTCGGACTGGGTCACAAAACAATGAGAAAACCAACTGTAAATAATGTAAATTGTGGATCAATAGCATGTCCATGACCCCCTCCTCCCCCCTCCTCTGTGGCTTTATGATGGCTTACACATTTTTTACTTTCATTTCCTTTTTCCTTTTCTTTTCCGGGTGTGCAAAGGGTAGGGAGGGTGGGAGAGAAGGCATGAGGGAAGTGCCTCTGTGAAGAAGTGTTAGCCTCTCAAACAAGCAATGTGAGTTTATTTGCATGATTGCTCTGTGTCTACGTTGTGCTTCCAGTCTCAACGTACTTACAACCCACGCCTATCAATTCGTTGCATTGTTCTATGGCCTAGATTTAAAGACAAAGTAAGAAGAAAACATGTGTGGTCTTTGTTTCTAGCCATGTACTGCAGTTGTTTTAAAGCTATCCTGTAAAACAGTTTGTAATAAAGCATTTTTCTTCCTTTTCTCACAAGATCATGTCTAAGCATAGCTTTCATATGAACCTCTATTTTGTCCCATAGAATATGGAATGATCGGAGAGCATACAGTAAAAAGTCAGCGGCCAAGATCAGTTCATGACACAAAGGCCCTGAAGGAGCAAGCTGATTCTGCTAAATTTATGGCACAAACTGGTAATTCTATAGTTATGTTTCTTTATTTTCTTAACTAAACTTAATTTCATCATGCATGCTCTCTCTCTTTCTCTCTCTCACTCTCTATTGTACTTTTAAGTGGAAATGACTTTTTGTTTTTTGTTTAATTTTGCTTTTTTTTCTACCCATTCCCAGTCCCCGCATTTAAACTGTAGGAAGATAAAATTAACAATTTTCTCCACAACAATTTAATATAAAACATTATTAGGTTTTTGTTTTTATGTCTGATCGTGAGTTGGCAAGTGTATTAGCCATACAGTATATTCATAGAGCATTAATTAAACAGCAGTTAAAAACTGAGGCCCAGATGTAGTTAATAGTCTCCTCCAAGGCGTGATGAATTAAATGTCATCCAATGACCCCCCCCCCCCCCCCACCCAAATAAGAAACACATACTTGGCAAAAGTTGAACTGATAGATTCTGCCCTGAGAGACAGAATGAAGCTATGTGGCTTAATTAAATCTAGCATAAAGAGGCTGAAAAACTAAATTCATAATGACATTTACAACATGCCACGGTTGCATTTTTAATACGTATTAAAATGCAAAGCAGTGATAATGCTAATCCAGAACCATTGTCTTTCAATGTAGCTACTTTGGGGTTTGTCTTATCCTTAAGAGATCAGTTTTATGGGTAGATTTAACACTGCTAATTTGATTTAAATAGACTTTTTTATTATTATTTTAAAATTTCGGGGGAACTGTCTTTATTTTTGTCATGTGTTGATCCATAAAGTTTGCTTGTTACTATTTTTTTTGTTGTTTGTTTTAATCATTTCATTAGCAATTGAGTTAACCAACGTGCATATTGTGCTCACACACTGCTACTAACACTGTAACCATTAACACTCCATCTCCATTTGACACGTGCAGCAGATATGTCGTGTGGCTGTCCCATCGCTTTGTGCGTTTCTCATCCTCACACTTTATTTTCCCTGTGCTGCTTCATTTAACAAATTGATCCACCTATCAAGTCTATTTAACGATCTGCAAAATTAAAGGCAGGGTTCTGATTTGTATTTGGACGAATCCGTGTCCTTCATATCAAAAAGATTAAACAAAAAAGAGAAAGAAATTCTTAAAAGCATTTATTCTGCTCTAAAACACAAATGGTATTTGATTACCTCAAATGGCATAAATGTATTCATAGCTGCAACAGAACTTATATCTATCTTCTACTAAAGCTTAGCCTCATCCAATAGAAATAAAACTAAACCTGAGGTTTTACATCATCAAGCATCAACGTTTTGGTGACTTCACTAACTTATAGAGATTTTCTTTGCCCACTGACTTGTCACCATTACTTTTTTTAAAAACTCAGCATTGTTTTGAAATCCCACCACAGGCTTTTACTGAATATTTTGATGTTTGCCTTTTGAACATTAGGCCATAGAATCTCAAAGGCGTTTTTTCCCCCACCAAAACAGCTAAGACCAGAGGCTCAAAGAGTACCCTCTTTTCCAAAATGTAGAAATATTTGCCGTCTTCAAAACTGTTGTTTTTCTTTCTTTCTGGAAGTTCAACTCTAAAATTTAAATACATTAAAAACACACCAAAGCTGTGACCGTGCTACTCTCTTCTCTTTTTTTCATCCATATTTTAGTCTTGGCGAAAAAAAAAAAAAAGAAAAGAAAATGGACAAGAAAATTCTTTGAAGCCAGTGTCAAGGAAACTACATCGTTTGGAGCAGTGCGAGGGAACTCATTTTTCAGAAATCATTTTAAACTAACATCCATTCAAATCCATTTTTTTCTCTATTGCTGTCCTTCTTGCATGTCATCATGTTATTATGAATTTATTTCTGTTCTACTGGGTTTCTCTCCCCATTTTACACATGATACAGGGTGTTATTAAAATGCACGTTTGTTTAAATATTGACTGAAACAGGGAACTCTAACAATGAGTCAATCATTGTTGTTATGATCCAGCTTTTCTGAGATCTGTGTATAAATTAACATTGCATTTATATATCATTTTACCTTAAATACCCAAGTGTCTGCTGATGCATTTAACCCAGATGATGCAAGACAAAGCTATAATAGCCTGCTTTTAGCATTTGGCCCCACTTTTCCCATACAACTCACCCATGTTGGCCCGTACCCAGTTTGCTCAACCCTGCCCACGTTGTCTCAACCCCACCCTGTTAGCCCTGCCCAGAGGACCGACTGTTGCATTTAACTAGTGTCACCCTTCTCCCACACAGGTGAATCAGGTGCAGAGGAGTGGTCCCAGTGGAGCTCATGCTCTGTAACATGTGGTCAAGGGTCGCAGGTGCGAACAAGAACATGTGTCTCACCATACGGAACTCACTGCAGCGGGCCTTTAAGAGAATCAAGGGTTTGCAATAACACTGCCCCTTGTCCAGGTAGTGTTAGCCGCAGATTCTTGAATATACATATTTATATATATATATATATATATATTGTTTTTGCTCATTTGTTTACATATCAAAGTAAATGTCTTGCAATGTTTTAACAAACGTTTCAATGTTCTTGCATAAAGAATGTACTTTTTATTACATTATAACAACCAGTTGTTAATTTGTGATTTTTTTTCCCCATAATCACCATTTGGTTTTCCATTTCACACAACTGTTGAGCAATTCACCGGCACAGAAATGGTTTAGTGTCACAGCACACTGTCCTGCATGGCATTCAGGGACTAGTAGATAGTGAAATGTCGTTGTCCTGAAGGTCAGATGTGAATTTAAAACAGTCTCAGTGTTGCTTTATTCAGAATGTTGGGCCTTTCTTCTTCAGTTCACGAGGCCATGGGAGACAGATACACGGCAGTCTGTGTGGTAACTGCAGACAGCACTTTTGTTTTAATACATCCAATAATAGGAGTGTGTCCTTTTAGTTCAATTGTCCTTTTTTGAAATTGTGGACACAGACATATTCATGTGAGTAAGGCTAGGAGGAGACGGTAGAGTTTAAAATATCTGTCTGAGTTTCGGCCTATTATTGATTCCTCTGTGGTCATTTAGAGTAAGCACAGACGGTTCCAGGGTTATAAACCAGAAAAGAACAGTCTACAGTGATCAACCCCTTGTGTATACACAATATTTTTTTATACATAAAATATTTTTATATGCATGAAATTTTATCGTATAAAATAAAGAAAATGAATGAAAAATGAATCAATCTACAAAAAAACCTGGAAATTCCCTCAATTAATTCTGAAATAGAAGAAATAACATTAAAAGCTTTTTTAATATCTGAAATGTGACTTTTCCTACTTTATGACGTTGTTTCATAGGTTTTTAGTTGGACCATATTAAATCTACAGAGCCCTGCAGTGATGGTAAATTACACAGTCTATAATAACTGGAATACCACCATGTTTCTGGTCACTTACCTTTATTAAACCATTGCTCCGAGAGCTGATATAGCATAAACCACATGTAGTTACGGTAGAAAACTGCAACAAAAATCTCCCAACTGGCACAGTGCCACAAAAAAGTCTATATCTAATATACTGAAAGGAAGACTGATCAATCTTCTTTCCGATAGATAACACATACTGCAGATCAAGCAGGCTGAAATATCCAGATTTTATAGACATAGCAAGTTGTTGCTCTGCTCGTTCATAACACAAAACTGGAGAGAATACAAGAGGGAGTATGTTTTGCGGAAATGCATTTTCAAATGAGCAGCACTTCATCACAAGCCAACCAGCACCACAGATGGCTAAACTTTCAGAAATACAGACTTTGAGTTCAGCTCCACGAGCACTTTCAGTGCACTTTATCATCTATGTCAATATATTTAAAAATAATAATAAAAACATCCAATAAGTGTTAGGTTATAGCCAAAAATGTTTTTGAATGTGTACTGGTTTAGTGTTTGCAATTTCTTTCCCTTATTCTGTATGTTGATGAAAAGTATCAAGTTTCTAAAAGTACAGAAGCTGAGCTGTGCAGGAATGATGGATGAGCCTTGTTTACCACACATGAAAATAGTTCAAATGCACAGACTGTGAGCCCTTCCTAAACTAATTAGCACACGTGGATACAGAAGCTGCTTTAATGCTGTTTTTTTTTAAGCTTGTTTTACACTAACTGACTGTGAGTGTACCATTGTAATGAGAGACTCAATTTAGGTGACATCTCCAATTCTGCTTTTTATTTTTTTAATATTCTTCTTGTTTACAATAAATAATTAATAAAGCAATTATTTTCTATTATCATGAAATTAAATAGTTGAAAATCCAGAAAATATATCCTAGTATTTACAAACAAACAACATTAGACATTAAGGCACATCACTGCAACCTGCTGGGCTTATTTTACAACCTGACACACAATGACAACCATCATTCTGAGGCCTAGTCTTTACAAATGATGGGATTAATTTAATGTTAATTTGTTTTTTGACTTTTCTTGGACATTTTTGTCGACCTTTAGCTTTTCACAGATCGATCTTTATGACCACTATAAAGTAGAAAAGTATTTTCTGCAACTGCAACATAACTGACACATAACAGAGCTTAATGCATTTTCCACATTTCCACCATCAGGCAGTGTTTTTTTGTTTTGTTTTGTTTTTAAGCTAGGGAATTCCCACTCTGCCACAAAACAGTGCCCTTAGCGAAACACAAACACCATCAACAACACAGACAAAAGTGCAATTTTGTATTAGTACGATTTAGTACTACTTTAAGTTAGAAAATCCAAGTAACAAGTTAAAAATTGCACATGCAGCAAACTCAGCTCCTATGGTATTTCATATATACTGTATATCATCTGTGTGTGTGTATATATATATATATATGAGACATACATGAGAGGGTATATATATATATATATATGAGACATACATGAGAGGGTATATATATATATATATGAGACATACATGAGAGGGTATATATATATATATATATATACCCTCTCATGTATGTCTCATATATATATATATATATGAGACATACATGAGAGGGTATATATATATATATATCCTCTCATGGCCATCCCCTGACAGCACACACACTCACACACAAAAAAACCCTGTTTCATCATTGATAGCTGTAGTGACTGGATGCTTTGAACTCCAACTTTCAAAGTTAATGATTCAGCCACTACGATACACTTAGCTAAGAGCATCAAAGCAGCACCTAGAGACAGGGCCAGAGCGTAGCTCTCCTCATGATGGACCCGTGGACTGATCCATTGTGCCAACTGCTCAACAACAGAATCTCAGGTCCTGTTATTATTCTTCAGCATCTTAGGCAAGCCTTTGAAGAACCTCTGAACAGGGATCTCTTTTCCCCAGAATCATTGTCCCTGCTATTATCACATGTTGTCATGTGATTTTTGTAATAATAATAACCTCAATAATAACATTATTTAAACTCCAAGCTTAAATATGTAGGTGTTTTAATTGCTTGACAACAGATTCGATCAAAGACAAAAGCCCAAGCCAAACAGCAACATAGAAACACATGAATTGACCCTGGTAGAGTATAAATAATAAATAAATTAAATGCCAACATCAGTTAAAATAAATAATACCATGCTTTTTGAAAATAATAAGCAGCTTTAGTAGCGTGTGTATTGTGCACTATTTACCTTTAGTAAGATTACAGTAGCTTTATCCAGTTGAACGCATTTACCAGTTTAGATAGACAAATCATTAAGAGGGAATGAACAGTGTATGAAACATGTCTTTGTCCTGATAAATTTCCCTACGGGGTTTCGGCTGTCTGAGTTGATCCTGCCTCTGATCGAGATCTAACACTGTATGTATTTGTAGTACAAGGTGTTCAACATACTGATACGAATGTTGCCCAGAAGTATTACTGTTGAAAGTATCTCAGTTACTACATGAAAAAGTCAGGTGAGTGTTGAAGCCACAGTTCAGAGAGATTTACACTCTTCTATTATGTTTCCTACCTTCGTTTGAACAGGGAGCATTAGTGGTTCAGTGTTTGTCATTGCTCGTGTGTTGATGAACGCTCGCGGAGTGGAGGTGACTAATGCTCACGGCTGAGGCTTTGTGAAGCCACACGCACCCTGTGCTCAGGAGGTTCACTTACATTAGTTTTGCTCCTAATTATTTTTGATTGATTTTATTTCATTTAGGGCTTAGTGCAGTTTGTTATGGCTCTGTTTATGCGACTGCAGGGACACGGGCATTGATTAGGCCTGACGTCTTCTCTGTGCCCGCAGTACATGGTGTGTGGGAGGAGTGGTCACCGTGGAGCCTGTGCTCGTTCACTTGTGGCCGTGGGCATCGCACTAGGACTAGGATGTGTGCCCCTCCCCAGCACGGAGGCAGGGCCTGTGATGGACCCGAGACGCAGACTAAGCTTTGCAACATAGCCCTGTGTCCAGGTATAATCTGTCTTCTTTCAAACTCCATCAGCAATAACAAACTCTAACACAGCAGCCAAAGCTTTAAGACAAGAACGATGCAGATGATGATATTACAAAAATGATCATAAAGACATTTCTGACATTTCTTTTGGTACGCCAGCACTTTAGCTTTCATGCATTATGCAAAGCTTGAAATTTGTTTTCTCATTTTCTTGTGAATATTAAGGATAAGTCTTCACCTAGTAACAAGAGTTTTGCGATTTTCAAACCATGTGCTACACTCAGTTAAAACCATTCAGTCCGAGATGCTTTCTGCAGTCACTGTTAAAAATGATGTAAGTCTGGCAGCAATCGCTCCTACAATTCTGTGCAGTTAACGCTATATGTTAATTAGGGGTGTGTATTGGCCATAATCTGGCTATACAATATATTTCACGATACAGGGGCAACGATACAATGTATTGCAATATACAATGATACTATAGGAACAACACTATATTGAGTTATTTTAAACAATTTAATTGTAGAATACCGTCAGCATAGAAAACACACAATGCTGTTACCTGCCTAACATCAGGTTTCCCAAATTGGGACCTGTAATTGCTAAAGAATTTAAACTTATTTGCAAAAAACATTTAAAAATCTTTTTTTTTTACTCAAATACTTGCAATATATGCAGTCCCTGTACAATAAAACAGTGGTTGGAAGTTTAAATGCAACACCAGGCCATGAATGTTTTCATGTTAATTGTTAATTGTAGAATATCAATACAGTCTCATGAAACAAAGTATTGCAATATTTTAGTGTATCGATATTTACTTAAACCTCTGGTAATAATAAAAACTTTTTTCTACACCAAATGCAGCTCATTTCCATTTCCTTTCAGCCAGTCGGAAATAAAAACCAGCACAAAAAAAGTTCAAATCAGTATTGTGTTTTTCTGCCTTCCTAATATTTAATTGGTTTGAGTCTGGGAAGAAATAAGTGATCTGAATATTTTCTACCATTTCTGTCTGCCCTCTTTTTTGTCCACCTGGGACTTTCTTGGTTGGTTGTGGTTGCTGCCCCAGTGGATGGACAGTGGCAGGAGTGGAGCTCCTGGAGCGATTGCTCAGTGACCTGTGCCAATGGCACTCAGCAGAGGACCAGGCAGTGCTCAGCAGCCGCCCATGGGGGATCTGAATGTCGCGGTCACTGGGCAGAAAGCAGAGAGTGCCATAATCCTGATTGTACAGGTAAAAATATTGCAATTGCAAGGGGATCTGATTTAATGATTGAACTTTTAAAAAAATCAAGATTTGCAATGTTAAAAAAATAAACCACTGAAGTCAGAGAAATCTGTGCTATATGGATTTATGGTCCAAGACCAATCTATGTAAAAATCCAGTTAGAAATAATAACTGCTCTCACAAATCTCAGAGCTGGCCATCCCAACTGTATGTCAGCATCAGACATGTATAAGAAGCTTAAAATGTCACTTAATGCTCTCTGTCAGGCTCAGAACTGTCTGATTATTCTCTGGTTCTGAACAGTACCATAATCTTTTCACTTTGGCGTCATGATTTCTTTTCTGTAATACTGGCATACAAGAGTCAAACAGTTGGCGATTTATTTAAGGACCTTGGATAATGTCAGTTTGAATATGTCTGGAAATACAATAAGAAAAAAAAAGTAAAGCTCATGTACACTAACTCATCATCTGTTGCTAAAATTCCAATTTTTTTTTCTCCTTTCATCACGGCTCTTGTTAAAGGGCAGACAGGCTTTTAAGGTTTACTTTTGTTAATATTGGCAGTAAGTCAAATAAAAGCTGCTGCTGAATTAGAAATCCTACATTTTTGAACCTCGTATTTGAACTCCTGTACCGCCTGGTTGTTTTTAAACTCATAAGCCATAAGCAGGTCTAGCTGCCATGCCTCAGTAGCCTCAGCATGAATTTTGGTCCGTGGGACTGTTTACCCAAAAGAACACAATGGTTTCTGGTGCCTCTTTTCTCTGGCAGAGGCAGAGCTGACAGAGGTTAGTTGTAGGACATGAAATAGCCTCGCACCTGTAAAGGTTCAAATAAGAGCAGTGTGTTTCCTGCTCAGAGGCTATTGTATCTTTTCCGTTTCAGACAAGGGCATGTGATTTACTACACCGCTGAAGGGGCCACATCTGTTTTTTTTTTGTCTAATGCACAATTTACCAGTGTTCATAGGAAGGACATAAAACATAATGGTTGCTTTTGGAACTTCAGCAGAAATGTGTTTTATTATTGACAAAAAGTGGAGCAAATAACCAGCAGTGATAGATCAGATCAGATGGTGTTCGATTATGTTTCCTGTGATTGTTGAGAGTAATAAAATAAATTCAAAATTGATCATGGGCATTACGATATATTTTTGTAAATAAAAAGACCTTTATGATATTTAAAAATCTTTAAAATTCAGTGAATTTATTAGCTAATTTGAATGTACTTTGTCTGAAAGCATCTGTTTCTAAATGCAAGTTATTGTGTTTTAGCCAACGGCCAGTGGAATCCATGGGGCCCATGGAGTGGCTGCTCCAAGTCATGTGATGGTGGATGGCAGAGGCGAGTCAGAGTGTGTCAGGGGGCAGCAGTGACTGGACACCAGTGTGATGGCAACGGAGAGGAAGTCCGAAAGTGCAGCGACCAGCGTTGCCCAGGTAAGCCAAAGGATAATGAGTCTTAAATCTGAGTGGCCAGGGGGAAGCCAAATGAAAATGGGGTTATAATTATCTCCATGGAGTGAAGGACATGGCTCGTCACTCAAGATCATTCAAGGCACAGGGTGAAAGGAGATGAAGATAAGTGGATTCAGAGGAGGGGAGTGAATAAGTATGGATTTTTATGAATAAATTAGGATAAAGAGGAAAGTGGTGATGAGACATGCTACATCATGCAAATATCATTAGAGAGTCTGTCTCTCACGGTTGGATATCATCTACTTGCCTTGATTTCCACCGCAGTGGGTTCATGATATGGATACTTTTTATAACATCTCCACGTTAACACTCGCCAACACTGTGCAGCCATGGTTTTCATCATTCCCAATGTAACGTGAAGCAAGTGTTGCATCATGTTGTAAATGCTCTGAGGCTCTGGCACTGACATGGCAACTCTTTGCTTCTCAGCACCGTATGAGATTTGTCCTGAGGACTATGCAGTGTCAATGGTGTGGAGGCGGACACCTTCAGGGGAACTGGCCTTTAATAGATGCCCTCCTAATGCCACAGGTGAGCAATGTATTCCTTTCATAATTAATTACTCCGATAGCTCGATCCAATTCTCTGATCGGCATTGGTCCAATATTGGTAAAAATTTCAGGATCAAACATTGAAAAAACAACTATTACTGTCTAATCTGTCTCTATGGAAGCCAAAATAATCAACTTAATTTTGCACCATTATCAACTCAGCAATGGCCGCCCCCAGTATGCTGGAGAAGAGTTGCAGGATCGTTATCTGACATGATGGAGCCATCCCTAAATTAAACACAAGGTTCCAATGTTTCAGTGCTCCTCATACACTTATACAATACTGATTTTGTATATATAGAGTGAAAATTCAAAGAGACACTTTCCATATTTGAAAATAGGCTAGTGTAGTGTGTGGAAAACAACTGCCGACTGTAATTCAGATTCTGTGAAAGCACTCTTTAGTCTGTCTTCAGAAATTAGGCAAAGGCTTTTTCATGTGCACAGAGAAAGACCTTTAGAGCAGGAGATGGGAGTTGTCAAACAAGGAGAAACACTCAGCTCCTGAACAGATGAGAGCAGTGCAGGTGACACAATTACCAGCCACTGTGTTGTGAAACAGTTTGTGTTAGAGAATCAGAGGGTCAATTGAATTAAGAAATCCAGCACGAGAAACATGTATTGTCCAGATTTTAATGTTGGATGTTAACTCTTACAAAGCTTTTGTTAAAACTAGGATTGCTCTGGTGTTCTGAATTGATACTCCCATCACAACCATAAAATAGCCAACTGGAAAATAAGTTGCTGCAGCAAGCACACTGCCATTCACAGATGGCTTACCTGCGGCAAAATTATGGAGAGTAAGATTTACTAGTATGACATTAGCTTTCTGGCATGACATTAGTTTTATGGCTAATAACAGTTCAGCACTACAAAGCTATTTCAAGCTGGCACTAAAGACATTTGCGGGGGGGTCGCTTCTATTTTGTATGATGATGTTCAAAATGTTACACTTTTAGTGATTAGGAATTTGATTTAGACAAAGGAGTTTCTTGAGGTCACGAGAAAAAAGTCTGAAATCTAGTATTAGTATGCAGAAGGTGCCCAAAAAATGACTGATCTCCTAGGTCAAAGTGGGGAACTTTATTAAACAAGAAGAATATTATAATCTATAATTTTTAATGGAATTTAAACCTTCGTGTGACTTTAGGTTGGTCAGTGACAAACCTAAAAATCAGTACCTGCACACACTGCAATCAAATCTTACTATTTTTATTAAATTTACATTTTTATTATTTGACATCTCTCTTCTTTAACATAATCTTCACGTTAAACTTAAGTAAATTTAAAATACTGATGGAATGTCAACATGTTCCTGTCCAAGATGTCTCATTACATTTGACATAATTATGTCTCAACAATGAATGAAATGAATACATATAATACATAATGAATACATATGAATACAAAAGCTTTAGTGAAAAAAAAAAAGAGAATTTTTTGTCATTGGGGAATATGGGTGGTGATATAGGTGGGGTCAGCTTAATTACACAAAATGGCTATGATATAAGGTTAACCAGGTCGTTTGGTTACGTTACAATACATTAATGTTTACCGATACAGCACATCCTCTCTGTCAGGACATGTCCTCACCTTGAATTAAAAAAAAAACTTGATGGACAACAGATCAGGTCAGGTCAAGTATATTTCCAGAGCCATTAATCACAGTTCCAATGTCAGCAGGTTTCACAAAGGCCAGATCATGAAAGTTTAGAGGAAAACAACACCTTCAACCCTTTGACCTATAATTAGATTAAGGTGAAACCATCACAAGATCTTTGACATAAGAAATATGAATCCAAACCAAACGTTCAGACTTGCATGAATTTCAAAGAAACTTAAGACATGTAACAGCTGCTTAGAGTGGGTAGACAAATATTGATTAAAACTGTAAAACCAGATCAGAAAAATAATGATCACTTAGTTTCATTAAAATGTATTTAACAAGTTTTTACTGAAATGAATTTAAAATATTTTTATGCACTGAATAACAAAAAAATATTTCTTTTGTGATTTTAAAATATGACTGAGCAAACAACCATGTTTTGAATTTTAAAAACATTTCTAATTGTCGGGCAGTGATGCTGCATTTGGTAAATATTTTGTGAAGATCGTTTCTTCCTCTACTATGCATGGATTTTTTCCCCCCACAAAATTGACAAAGTTTACCAGAGTTAAATGCACTGTAAAACTGAACACTGACAGACCAATGCCACATGAAGGAGCAGCCTTCATCTTGATCCAACACATCTCTGACTACATTTCATACTCAACTCTTCATTTATACATCACTGGAGATACAAGGACATAACTCATGAACGCTTTGTGTTTTCATCTCCGACTTGTTTAAACCCAACAGTCTGACGTATGCAAACCCACAGTAATTCTTAAGCAGCAATAGTTAAAGATGAAACAAGAGGAAAAAGACATATTGCAAAATTTCTTTCTTGAATGTTTACAGTTCCTTTCCCTTGTATTCATACCCTCGGCCCCTAAAAGCATATGGTCAGTCTATTATGGCAAGAGTGTTATTAGATTTTGTTTTATACCACTAATAAACTACAGCAACAAATCTCTACCAGAAAACTGAATGTTCTTGGAAAAAATTGAAGGCAATAACAAAAAAGGAGCTAGTCCATGCATTTCACAGTAAAATGATTTGTGCCTTGGGCAATGTGTTCCTCCTGGCACTGCTGAGAGCACATTATTATTATTAAGACACCTTCCCAAAGAATCACACTAAAATAAGAAAGTACACTACAGGCCATTTAATGAACAAAGAGCTGATTAAATAACATAAAAGAGTTTACCAAAATAATACTGACAGATAAAAATACATTTTGACTGGACCACAAAAGATTGGACCATAACAATAAAAATGAGATTCACTTGACGAACAAAGATAACTCTCTTTCGAGAACTGCATGTTGACATATGAGGCCACTTGTTACACGATACATAAACAAATACTGTATAAGCACAAAAACTCCACCAAGCATTCTCAACTAATTCAGCTGGTTCTGCAAGTTCTAGTACTGTGGTACTTCAGTAGAGGATGTTTTTATAATAGTTGTTTATACACAAAAAAATTTAGCAAAGTATGTATTATCGCATGCGTTTAAAAACACGCATGCACGGTCATGTTTACAAACATTTGTATACATTCAAAGTCAAAACGTCAGCATTAGCAGCACCGTCCGTTAAACCAGTTAACGGAGGGTTTCCGCTACGAGAAGCTTAATAAAACGCAACCGCTATCGAGCCAAAAAAACTGCGAGTTTCACTTCTTACCGTCTGCCTCTAAGGACTCCAGTTGTTTTCGCAGGGAAATGTTCTCCGTTTTCGTATTTTTGTCCTTGCTGGTGGTGTGCTCAGCAATAGAGCATGACGCACATTGGTCCAACACAGATTGGTTCCCACCACCGGCTGGAACCACTTTTGAATTTTGACAACAGACTCCACTTTTGCGTGTTTTGTTATTCTATTATTATTATTTATTATTTAACAAAAGTAATCAAATAGACATATTATTTAAAAATATGTAAATATTTTGTTAGAAGATTGTTTCTCCAACAATGAAGTCAATGAAGGGATTTGCCTTGTGGAAAGTTTGAAAATGGCAACCTGCATGATGAAACCCAAGGGACATTTCTGTCCATTTTAAGTCCTCTACAATAATAAAGTGGACGTTGTCTGTATTGTATTTTAGGGAATTCATCTGTTAGTTGTATCCAAACATAAACAATAAAATAAAAAATACAATAACATAAACTTTATATATAATGCATTTATATATTTCCTTTATTGTTGATGTGTGTCCACAAGGAGCGTTTGCTGTGTGCAAGTAACTAAAGTAAACAGCCTCGCATGTGAAGGCAGAGAGATGAACGCTCAGTGCAGTGTGAAGCAGCGGGCCCCTGCTGTTGCCCTTTGGGCTGACTCACGGAGCTGCTCGGGCATCCCATGCATATAGAGATGTTTTGTGTGCACCCAAAGAAAAGTGCACATCACCCACTAGGAGCTGTGGAGAAGGTGAGCGTAGGAGGTTTGGTTTTGATCTCTGACTGTCTGCCTTTGTTAGAGTGAAGGATAGACGGAGAGAGAGAGAAAGAGAGGGAGGGAGAAAGAGAGAGAACAAGACATAGCAGTTTATAAGAAACGCAGATGCCTGGGGAAATGTTTTGTACTGTGGGAGTTTTCCTGAGGATGTTAAGCACCTGTGTGTGTTGGAGCGGTGGGTTGATACGAGATGTGCACTCCACCAGGTCGACAGCTAGAAAGATGAGTGATGGCGAACCTCTATGTAGGATGTGTATGGGGATGAGGATTGATATTGGGTAGGTCTGCTATTTCAGGATCACTTTGTTAATGCCTGGCAGCTCACATAGCTGAGTGCGTAAGTAAGTCACTGGAACTTAAAACGGTGCACAATAATAGTCCTAGTGCCACTTGCTTAGAACCTGGAAGCCCCACTTCCAGTGAGGTTTGAACAAAAATGTCAGTTTTAAGGCAAATGACAAACAAAAAAATTAAATAATAAATTAAATTATGTTCNNTAATGAATTAAATTGTGTTCAGCATGATTATTTAAAAACAAATAACTGCATTTAACGCACAAAATTGCAGTATTAAGACCTCAGTCTTTTTCATGCCATGACTGTTATGTATGTTATGAATATTCTTTGTGATTTTATTTATAATCTGGATTCTCAATTCTGGTGCAACATTTAACAGGAATTAATGGTGGAGGGAAACAGAAGTGGGGAAAAAAAAGCAAATGTCTCTTGTGAATAGTATGTATTTCTGTCCTGTTTTTTGTCTCGTTCTTTCCACATCGTCTCCCTGCTTCCTACCACTTCCATCTGTCGTTCCTTTGGCCATCCTTTGGTCCTAATCCTCTCTCATCCCTCACCACCCAACACTACTCTCTCTACGCCTCCCGTCCTTTTTTTCTTTACCTTTTCTTCTCCAAATCTGTCACTGTCTCCTTCTCCTCCACAGGCACCACTAGTCGACGCTGCTCTTTGGATAACCGTGGTATGGCCTTCTGGGAGCAGCCCAGCTATGCTCGATGCATAACAAACGAATTCAGATACTTGCAGCAATCAGTAGGTGCAACGTCAGCTTCCTCCCACAGCCCCTGTTTTCAATGCATCATAAATTACCTCCCCGGTGCCTCAGCATCACGCTGTACCTAAAGATTAACCACTTTTAATACAGGAGCAAATCGCTTCACTGATTTTGCCATTTTTGTGAAGAATGATCACAGGCAAATGTTTTGTACGCTTGATTTCTAGCGTTTCCAGTCACATCTAGAAATACAAAAACAACGAGTTCTTTTGTTCTTTTATATGCTGGAGAACAATATATTTTTTCTCTTTGCCACATCCAAGGATAACATCTGCTCCCATAAATCACAATACATAAAGAAAGCACAATAAAGAAAACAGGACGTGCGGATTGATGGCTGACTCGGTAAAGAATATGAGCCACCATCTCTTTGCAAAGTGTACGGCAATGATGGGAGGGATTTTCAATGATTGAAAGCAGTTTGCACTGTGACCTAAGAGCCAAAAAAGAGTTATTCTATTTCCATGCTTTATGAATTTCCACCATAAATCACAGAGCTGTTTAGTGTTCATTCAGAAAACACACATAACAAGGAACAGATATCAGCTGTGAAGTAATACGTAGCTCTGATGTCTGGACAGTGTGTGATGTGAAAGATAAGATAGGTTGTCTGTAATAAAGTGGAGCTTGGACAGTGACCTTCTGCTCCCTGGTTTGTGGACCACTTTATTGATCTTACTCAGCACTTTTGGCCGACAGAGGTCTAAACTTTTTTAATAGGTTCTGCTTGGCACTATCTTCGGTGGTAAATGCATCAATCAATTTGTGAAAAATAATCAGACTAAATTTTTTTTACACATTTAAATGCATTGGCACAATGACACACAGTATATATAGTAGTTCCATCATTCATCTTGTCATCATTCACAGATGATGTGCATGTTATTTGCACACACTGCAGGAAAACATTTTTGTTTCACGACACAACTGAGGCTTAAATACCACCTCAACCCCCAGCATGAGTTTGGAGGAAGCTTAACTTCCTCTTAGTAATGACTAGAAAATTTAAGTTAAAATTTCTTGACATTTTTCCAATCAATAATTCAATCATTTGGAATTTAAGTGAAATGAAAACATCTTCCTGCTGTTATTTGTCTTTTTGGTCCAGCCATATACAGAAAAAAGTATTTTGTCAAACAATTTTTTTTTATTATTTTGTTAAATGACTAATCACGATTAATCTCGAATAATCGCGATTAGTTTTTAATGCACAGCTACACTGTGAGATACAAGATATGTATGGAATGAAAATCCACTGTGAGGATGACAAATGTAATTTCATTGTGAAATTTCTGGCAGACTATATTTGTCTTCTGCATCACTTAACCTTATACATATTGAGTGACACTGAAACATCCTTGAGACAAAATACCTTTCAGCCTGTCTTCCAGCTGCATGTGTCAGAGTTAAATCCTCGGAGAATCAGGTTCTTTATTTTCACCCCGTTGAATCCATTTGTGTAGTTTTGTGATTTCTGTCTGACAAACCCTGCTGAGGACACCGATGTCCCAAGTTCTTTCATCTCCTGTTTTTGGAGGTTCAGGGTCACCTTGCTAAAGGCCAGAGGATGTTGGCCGGGGATGGAATGTCCCAGGTCACGAAGAATCTGCTGGACCTTACCCAGAGGAGAAACTTCTACGCCGGTGACCTACTCTCGTCAGTGGAGATCCTCCGCAATGTGACAGAGACCTTCAAGAGAGCCAGCTACGAGCCATCGTCAGACGATGTTCAAGTAAGTGGACGACACATTTACAGTATTGGCAAATATACAAATTAAACATTCTCTGTTTTTTTTTTTTTTGGTTTTTTTTGCATCAAAGACACATTTTTCTAGAAATGTTTGTGCCTGAGAAATTAAAAACTTTAATTTTATTACAAGCTTCATTTCACGGGCAAAGAACCTTCATAGTAAAAGTACATTTCAAAATGTAACGTAAAAGCCCAACTATGGACAAGAATTGAAAATTAGCAACATTAAAAACGTTTCTGTATGGTCCCTATCAAAAAACAAGTATATTCTCAGATATTCTAAAAGGACAGGGGAGGATGTTTTAGGGAATGTTTTGTTAAAACCACTCTTAAAGGTCTGGACAGAGCCACAGTTGAACTGAAAGGTTCATAAGAGATGCTCTCTCAATTAGCAGGTTGTGTGGTAGCATGTGTGGCTAATTTAGTGACAATTCTCTCTGATAATTGGAGGTTAAAGGAAGTTCTTCCAACTGGGAAAGAGCGGTGTGCTGTGTGTGATAGTGTGGTGGGGTTAGTGCTTCAGTTCTTAAAGGACAAAGTGTCTCAACTTTTCTTGAAATGAAAATGTCACACTGTATTTGTATTAAGAATAGGACTATTCTCTTGTTTGACACAAGACACAGAAGTGAAAACATTTTTGTGGATGTGTCACAGGAGCAAAAACACGAGAGTAACGTTCTTTATCTCATCACGTCTGTGTGGTTCACCGCAGCCCTGATCCTCTATTTTGTCCAAACAGATAAAGATTACAGCGTAAGCTGAACCTTCATTGTCTGAGGGATAATCATGTCTCAGGAGCTGCGTCATTTTCAAAGACACTCTTTTAGCACATGGTTGTGGTTCTTGTGCCCCTAGTGTTAAGGGTTATAATTATCTTGTTTGTGTGTTTGTGTAAGTGTGTTAGATGTAATACAAGTATTAATTGTAGTGCTATCATAAAAGCAACCTTGTTGTGGAGTTGCAACAACACCCTGAATATTTTATGTGTGTTAATGGTTCACCACTACAGCTGCCGTGCATCCTTTCTTCCTTGGCGACTGCATTACATTTATTTAATTGCTTGTTTTCCTGCATAGAGGCAAACGCATCGGACAAACAAAATTAAAAAAATACATATTCTACTGCTTTCTGTTTGGCAGTAGAATGTTTTAATGCTTTGATTTTAATATACTGAAGGTTTAGCCAGTTTATAAATCCCATATGATGTTATGCTATATGCTGACGAGATGTTCTTTTTTCACTATACTGAATATGTAAATATACCCTTACAGTTACACATTAAATATAAAGAGAAAGAAAAAAAAACAGCTATCAAGAAGTCGTATCATGAATAGTGATGGTAAAAATGCGTCACTGTCTAAGCTGGGATTCCGTCCCCGTTCATTCAGGATTTAATTGGCACACTGCTTGTTCTACAGGTTAAGATGGAGAGATAATTAAATCTCCAAAATGTTCCACTCTCTTAAATATGCACTTTGAAATCCCTGTGGTATTTGGATTACAAAATGTCAGGGATGTTCTTTTCCTGAGTTTTCTGCTGGCAATATGCACATTAAAGGAGATCTAAAGTGCAAAGACTGCTGCTAATATGCCGCAGAAATTAAAGCCAAACGTTTTCTACGGATGGACGACCCAGATTGTGACTGGCCATTTTCACACCTTAAAAAACCTGTGAGATGAGGAAAGAGTCGTGTCTCTGGCCATGATGAGGGTTCTATAGTGTGTGTGTGTGAGTGTGTGTGGGCAGGCAGGCAGTGGAGCAGTCAGCCAGCCAGCCAGCCAGCTTTCCGCCTTCATGTGTCTCTGCGCTAATGCAGTGTTAAAGTGGGCACATTACCACCAGAGGGAGCATAAGCATTCAAGTAGAAAACAAGATAGCCTGTGTCAAGAGAGAGAGCCACTCCCTCAGGCACGGTGTAGACCAGACGAAATAACAGGGCTCAAGATCAGACAGGGGTCCTATTACTACTGCAGGCATGCACCTTCCTCCCCTCACCCCCTTTACCTCCAACGCACACACACACACACACACTCACCCCCCAAGCAACCGCAGCCTTCTGCAGCTGAAAAAAGTGACAATCCACACAGCTGTTCAAACATTCTCTTTCATGCCTTTTTTTCCTGATTGAAGCCCTCCTCTAGCACTGGGTGGTTGATGTGTGTCACCATGGTTCACAGCGTACTCCACCTTTTCTCTAATTATTTATCATCACAGTTTTAGAGGCAAATCTCTTTTTGCCATTAAGTCCTGACTGGGGGGAGACGGAGGATCATTATTCCCTCACAGAATTCCTTGGTTGTCTGTGATCATGAGAGTCAGGTTATTATCCACAAATGCCACCTCCCTGTGCATTGCTCTAGTTGCATCTTGCATGTAGAGCCGGTGAGTGGGTGTGTTATGTGTTTTTCTCTCTCTCTTTTTATCATCCCCACAGAATTTCTTTCAAATCATCAGCAACCTCTTGGAGGAGGAAAATAAGGAGAAATGGGAAGATGCACAGAAGGTAAGCACCTCGCAGTGCACACAGTTAATAATTAATGTTGCTGCACTCAGGGCTGTGTTCACCTCAGGAATTTTCCTGAAGTTTGTTTGTAGTTGTTCCATTTGAAAAGCAATGATTAAGGCCGGTCGGTGCTGATAGAATTTTCCACTTACACATATCATTGTGAAAGGTCATTTCGCTCTAGTAACACCACAAGAAAGCCAGTCCTCCAGTCTACCACTTGGTGGCAGCAGTGTCGTCACACTTTATGAGCAAGCAGTACCACTGCAGGATTCATTTTCTCCTGCAAACACATTGATTTATCCGCGTATTTACAAATCAGCCTAACTTTCAACGTGTTAATAAGTCGGTTTGAATTTAATTTAGTTCAGTCCGTTTGTTTCTTACACCTCGACACAGTGACAGCTGAAATATCAGGACATCTTGTGATGAGTTTCCTAAATCATCTCTAAACCTGTGTCCTGCAATCCAGCACAATGAAACTCTGACAAACACACCATCTGTGATGAATGCAAGTCTGCAGCGGGCATCTGCTCCACTGTCACAGTGACTGACACCGTGACAAATTTGACTTCAATTACATCACACCTGCACTGGAACGTGATTGAGAAAGAAGTCCTACAGCCTGCCAGATTGTTTTTTCAAGAATTAGGCTGAACGTTAGAGCAACACAAACACCGGCAGCAGTGGAAGTTCTTCCTGTTCCTGTCTGTACAGGCAGTAATTAGGCGTTTACTCAGCGCAGCTTTAGGTTGTCAGGCCCCAGAGACAGGTAATTGGTGAGAGGAACCCTTTAAATGAGCAGTTTCATCTATAAGAATACGTCACAGATAGACAAAGAGATGAGAGGAAGTATAGAAAAAGGAGAAATTGTCTCCATGATGGAGCACCCAGAAGAGGTATTTGACACGGGTAATTAATTCTACAGTTATTAATGTGTCTTTCTAAGGAGTGCTGCTTCACTTCTGGCACTTCGCTAAGTGGACACTGGCGTAGAGATGTCATCGGACACTTTTTTTTTTACCTCAGGTTCTGTTTTTGTTGCATTAATGAATGTCGGTGCAAAATCATCCACACCCTAAAACGCTGTGATGAAACATCTCGCTGTGAGGTTGTACCTGCTGTGGAGTCGACTGTGTGCAGTGATCACTGTATATTCACCTCCTGTCACTGTTACCATGGCAAGGAGAGGACGAGCTCTGTCTACAGGAGCTCCACTGCAGCCATTTCCCTCCGCTGCCTTCATGTCTTCTGGTTGCCATGGAGACCAGCAATGAGCATGACTGCACTGTGCGTCAGACATGCTGGAAGGGGCAACGTGATGTGCCTTTCCATCTCCACTATTTCTTTTACTCTGTTGCGTTGAGGGCTCTCAACTTTTAGCGCCACTGGTGCTGGAATTAGCAGCCGATACAGTGAACTCAGGTGAACACAGTCTGTTACCACAGATAGAAGAACAGCACTGGGGGTTGGTTACCTATCAAAACCAAGTTATTATTAACTGCCTGGTGCTACTAAAATCATCTGAATTAGCCCAATCGATCATTTGCTTGTTAAAAGTTGTGTAAGTACAAAAACATATAGAGAACAAATACAAATGAAAACGAAAGGTCAAAATGCTGCTGAGTTGTTCAGTGAATATAGCTCTCAGCTTCAATGTGTGGGAGGGGGACTATTTACAGACAATGAATGCAGAGTTCTTGTGCTGTTGTGCATACATAAATACTCACTAAACAGAAAAAAAAGAAATTAGCCAGCCCAACAACTGATGCATGATGGGACTTCATGCAGTTGCTGCCTAACTTCTTAGCCCCGTTGGTACTACAGTTTAATGCAAAGCTGCAGCTCAGAACTAGCTGAGCTGGAAAAATCCAATGGCATAATTAAAAATAATATGGCAAGTGTCAGAGGCGAGGTTAAAACCCCTGTGTCACGGTGAAGCCATGAAATAAAAAAATATGCTCTAATGCTCTAATATAAATTAAATGTAAAAAAAAAAAAGTGTAGAAGTGTCATAAAAATGTTTAACACCAGTGACCGTGTTGTAGCATAAAACACTTGATTTTTTTTTTTTAATATCACAACAACAGGAAAAAAAATGTTGGTCCCACAAATCAAATCCTCTTATTAGGTCTGACCCACGGCCACAGTTGGCAGCCAGGACAGCGCTTCAGTCTTTGAAGGTCACTTATTGGATTAGTGTGGCCTGAGTTTATTGACTTGGAAGAAAGAGCTGACTGGACCTGGCCTGTCGTGGACGTAGCTGTCCATGGTGCTGAATCCCTGCCTCTGCAGTCTCATATGAGTGCTGATGTCCTCAGAGTAGCACCTAAAGCCAAGGGAACACTTTTGACTTGGCAGGGATATTAAGAAGAGAAGCCAATATAATATTCTGTTATCATTTTTATTTTTGAATTTATTACAGCTCTCATTACAATATTATGCATTTTTAACTTCTTAAACTTGCTGCATCAGTGTGTATCTAACATTACAGGTATCCTAGGTTGTATAAATAAAGACATGTTAACTTATTATATTATGTTAAAATGTCTTTTTTGTTCGGTCTAGATCTATCCAGGAGCAGTTGAACTCATGCAGGTCATAGAGGAATTCATCCACATCGTCGGTTTGGGCATGAAGGATTTCCACAACGCCTATTTGATGACTGGAAACTTGGGTAAGACTCAAAGTCCAACTGTTTTTATTATTTATTTGAGTTTTACAGGAACACATAATCCCGATGAACTGCTGACACCTTGTGTCAATTTCTTTAGTCTAATTAATTTAAGATAAACGATGGATGGTAAGAGTGTGGGAGGGAAATTACTACGAATCAATAATGTTAATTAATACCAAGATTGTGCCGTTAATGGGATAAATTATATTTAAAAAAAGCACTTAACTCTAAATTCTATATTTAGAACAGTTTAGAAATGACTAGAATGAAAAGATTTCTTATAAAATAGGTTCTATATTTGTGTGATTTATGTGATAATATGGGGTTTGTAAGTGTTATTTTTTTAAAACCTGAGCATGTCTTTGTGTAACTTATTTAACAGCAATAAAAAATACATTTATCATTTTGTTTGATTACCAGACCTGGAAAATATTTCCCGTGCCTTAAATAAAAAAAAGTGTGTTTTAAATGGAAGAGAAATCACGACTTTCTCTTTTCAGCTGTAATGAGGTTGCAAACATTTTTCTGCACCACTGATTGGAATCCAAATTATAATTCCCCTTCTAAGGGAAAAGCAGTTTCCAGAAATGAGCCTTTGAGCAACACTTTTCCTCCCTAATGTTCTCCTGGGTTCTTTTAGCTTCTGTCGCACAGCCTCGTGGATGATCTAAAGTCTCTGTGGCATTTCAGGTTTTACTAAGATGTAAATGGTGCCTCACTGGCGTGGAAAAGAAAAGAAGCAGAGGGTTGATTTATTCATGCCAGTGAATAAGAGTATGTACAGCTGTGCTCGTAGGCAATTCCTTTGACAGAGTGAGACTTCCATGTACTGTATTTTCACAATGGCTAACATTTGACCCACTTCTAGCAAACACTTGCACTCAATGTCTCCTAATGGTATATGATTTCCATAATGATGAATGCTGCAGCTCGTCCCTAGGAATAGTTTTACCAAACACGGTACACACAGCCATCAAAATGCCATTATGAGACACTGTAAGAGCAAAATTAAGTAACGGACACATGGATATCAGGACAAATGCATTTGATAATGTTGTCAATTAATGATTACTTTCAGAGACCGTGGAGTTAACCTCCCCCAGTTTTCCCCATAATGTTGTTTGTCCAATCCTGGTGCCACTACAACAGCAAAGCATTAACACGTGACTCCTGCTTTATTGACTCAATGTAAATTATTCTGTAAAAATAGGCAGCTGTAAATATTTAAATATATTCATACAATTTCTGAGAAAGTAAGAATTTTTTTTTGCATGGTCTTTGCTCCTTTTTGCGAATCTGAAAATTAAAATGTATGCAGAACAGTAGTGCAGATTAACAAAGCACATTAATTAAACTCATTTTCGCTTTTATTTTAAAGGTGATTACTTCCTTTGTAATGTGTCAAATTACAGACACAATTAGTTTCATTAATCTCAAAATGGACGAAAAAAAAGCAATAGAAAAAAAATAGCTGTACATCATCCGATGAGTGAGCTTTCATTTGGGTTACGCCGCTGAACAATGAAATTTATCATAAATGACTGATGGTGACGTTGATGAGACTAAATTTCACTCTCCATGCACTGGACTGTGCTAACAACCTGTTTAGCAACAAATTAAATTCTGATAAATTAGATAATCACCAAAGGAGCAAAACACATTTTTTTGTTTTTGTTTAGATTTTGTTTTAATTAGATTCTGTTGATTAACTTTCTTAGCTCTGTTCCCTACTAAAAGTACCTGATTATATTATTTGGACCATTGTTTCTTTATGAAAGCGTGATTAAAATAGGACGTGGAATAATAAGCAGGAAGTTCAGGTGAGCGCCATGAAATGTTTTGGCCCTTTGTAATGTTTAAATTAAGCAATGAGTGTGAAAAACAATGGAAAGCGAAAAAAAGTTTTTAAAATTGTTAAAAAATGTATGAATCTGGAATTTAGGAATTTCTTACAAAGACTTCAAAAAAAATCTTTCTGATTTATTTTATTTTTTTAATTTATAACCTTTTCAATTGTATTTTGAGAGTCCGATGCAAAACACAATTCTTATAAAGCATGATTCAGCCATGGAGTGCAGGGAGTTTTCAGGTTAATTTGTTTTCCCCCAATTACGGGACACGGTGTTGGTCGTTAGCCACACAGGGTTTAGCAAAGTCATCTGAGCTGCGACTATTTTGATTAAAGCATTGAAAAGTCTTGTCTCCGCCGGTCGAATCTAAGTAGACGGTATCTGGCTAAGTAAGATATCGTGGCATCATTTCGTCACTAATTTATGGCGGCCTTCTGACACCTCCATAAATACTGGCTGTCAGAAGTGCCTCGTCCTCTGTCCTCCCACTTTTAGTCAAATAACCTAGATTGGGTGAGGCTATGCACTCCAGCAAGTTGTTCTCTCATCCAACAAGTGCAGGACAAAGTGAAACCCAGGACACAGTGTGAAGGCGGAATACATGACTGTTTGTGGATGTTTTTATTTAAAATTCCACTCTAAGCCTGAGCATTATGGAAATGTTTAGATGATTTATTATAATCACAGGGAAACCAAGAGAGCAGCAGTTTCTAATTGATTTGTTTGTTTGTATTTACGCGTAAATGGTTTCTGACTTTGACAGGTAGCCGAACACAAACGGTTGTAATGAGCACCGCCGTAATTCTCTGACTAAATCTGTGTTCAGAAACATCAGAGCAGGACACTGTGGATGCTGTATGAGCCGACACAGATGACATTAACATGTAGAATTACCCAGAATTCCTTCTCTCTCGGCCACTGCTGTTCCCTACATCAGCTGTGAACAGGCCTCTATCAGGGTCATTCCCAACACACAGCCCATCCACCTCCTACTGCCATGCAGTGGTAATACGGAGATTTAAAATGTAAAACCAACATCCTGTGCAACCCCGAAGCGTCTGCATCAATGCTTGGATTAGCATCAGATTAACTTCACTAGAGCTCCTGCTGACTGAGAGTCAGTAAAGTGATGATGTAAGGTGGTATTTCTTTTTGTTGTTCTCTTGAAGTACTCCGACTTATCAGGTAGGAAACTCAGCAGGTCTAGAACAGCAACTTGTCATGTTTTGGTTAAATACTGCGTTAGAGTGGAGAGGAGTGGAGATTAATGTGAAGGGGATATTTTGTTCACATTTATATTGAGTTACATTTGAATTGAAGCTGAGGACAAATTCATCATTTTTATGAGCCAGACACTGACAGGGGACAATGACAAACAGACTGATTTTGAATAATTACATATAGTTCCAATAGAAAACAGATTACCATAAATCTTAGCGCTCCCCTGTGAGATATAAACTAAACTTAAATCACAACAGGACAGATTTTAGGCTGTAAGGTTTCATAAAAGGGGTTGTTTGAATCAGTGTTTCTTTATATTAACCTTCGGCTAAAATCTCAGCCTGTTTAGTTGAAGATATCACTTATATACTGGCAGGAATTGAAGAAAGATACTCAATCTTCAATAGCTCTGATGACCTTTGTTTTGTTTTCATAGCTATCTGCTGCCATCTAGCAGAAGTATTTAATTGTTCTGCCTTGTATGGCCATCAGATAAATCAGATTTAAAATTTTAATTATTATATATANAACCTATTCAACCTGATTCCTTTGTTATACATGTATTCCATTTGAGTAAATACTGGTCTGTTTGTTTAAAATCTGCAGTGGCCAGCATCCAGAGACTTCCAGCAGTATCAGTGATGACTGACATCAACTTCCCCATGAAGGGTCGTAAAGGAATGGTGGACTGGGCCAGGAATTCTGAGGATAAAGTGGTCATCCCAAAGGGCCTCTTTGTTTCCCAGTCAGCAGGTACGTGACTGGATAGATGTCAACGAGTCGTCCTATTTCCACTCAGAATTATCCATCTTCACGACTCAACACCACATGAACAGACGGCAGGTGCAGACTTTATTCTCCAAAAGATATAGATATAAAAAACAGCAGTAATATGTCTGCAATCTGCCAAGAGAAATGCAAGATGAATGTGTAGTGGAGACATTACGATGCATCCAGGGAGCATTCCTGAGAAACAGAAAAGGAATATCTTTACAACACAGCCACAGCTGAATGGTTCTGCTTCAATTGCTTTGTCTGAAAACTTCACACCCCCACATCAGTCACCGGCAGTATGCAGGAAACTGATAATTCTCCACGCTTCAGCCCTTGGAGTTTTAGGAATGTAAAATAATGCCAGAAGACTCCACACAAGCCAGTTCCGATCGTTCAGTCACCGAGCCTTTTTCAAAACTCAGCATTTTAGCATCCCTTTCAAACGCTGCCAGTTCCCACAGTATATCGTCAATGCAGCGCCAGACAATTTGGTTAATTTCCGTGATTAATCTTATTTTCGATATTTCAAAGATAACAAAAGATGGATGAGATATCTCTGGATATCCTGATGCCAGCCAATCACATTTGGACACAGTCAACAAAGTCTAAAAATAAAAGCTGCAAAATTTGAAAATAAAAATGAGTCACTATTTCACCAAGGTCAACCAGGTACTACGAAGGGTAACAATACTGACATCTGTCACCTCTACTCACTTAAAGGCACTGACAACGGCATTTCTCACTTTTGTTTTCCTCTTATAGATATTGAAGGTTCTCCCGTCTTCATTCTGGGAACAGTTCTGTACAAAACTCTTGGACTCATGCTGCCCTCACCAAAGTAAGAGAACTTTATCCTTTTTTTGTGTGTGTTCCTGCAGCCTAAAAACCATGGTTCTGAAAACTTAGCACTTTGTACCATCTCAAAAATATCCATTCCACCAGTAAAAGCAAATTAAAAATACAGCAGCAGAGGAAGAGCCAGTCACGAAGCGCAGTAAAGGAGGAATTTAATTAGAATAAATACAACTCTGAAATCACAAAACACACGTAAAAACACACTGTGCAGGCAAGAATACAGCAGACTCGCCTCATCCTTATGGGAATCCAATTCTCCCATGTATCACTAGAAAGACCCCAAACACCAGCTGTGGTGTGCGTACCACAGTTTGAGAACCACTGCCTAGATTATCTTAAACAGAGGACCAGATCGGTCATGCTTCTTTTGGAAAGTGAGGATGACTAACTGTCTTCAACCCAGCAGGGGGTGCTATAGATGTATTTTAAACACCCTGGTCTGTGTATTAGTGTATATCTATGTAATCATCTCACTTAGCCAATTAACTTACAACAGTCAGACTTTCCCTTTTCTTTGCCTCTTGACGCAAGTCAGTTAATTGCAAATGATTGCATTACTGCCTCCTACTGGGTCAAATGTCCTCTTGTAAACACTTACATAAGGAAACAGACGAGCTATGTTTACATGTGCTGTATGTAAAAAAAGAAAACATGAAAATTTAATTTTGGAAACATTTCAATTTTAATTTTTGATCACACAGATTATCTTTACTGAGTACAACATGTTGGTTGATGTTTGTCAATCATTCCACTTTGAAAGCAACATCGGCATTTATAAGAGCCTTCCCAATTGGTCATGACAGTTGATTGAAATGAAGGTGTTTAATTAGGAGATAGTAGATAACAGTAGGATATCTGCAGGACAGCCAGCAGGCGTCAGACACCAATCAACAGATCTTTTGGCACAAACAGGCCAAGGACAGAGCGGTCACATCAGTACTGGACCAGACCAGCCCTCACTGTGGTGCAGCAGCAGCAGATTCCACTGGAGCACAGAAAGAATGAAGCTCTGGAAATGACAATAAAGTTCACATTGTCTGAAATAACAAGAGCATCAGATGGTATTTCAGCGCCTCAGCTCGTGAAGCTTCAAATAAGAAAAGTAAATGTCAGACGTTTCTGTGCACTTAGAGTGAAGGACTTAAGAACCCGCCCGCTGCACCCAATGATTTCCATCTGTACAAAGTAACAAAGAGTGACTGACTTGTTCTCTTTGGAAAAGGTCAGACAGAAATGTCCTCAGATCAAGTGTATCTGGCAAAGTGCTGCGGAGATCTCACCTCCAGTAACTCTGTGTCATTTTCAGTTCCCATTCTCAGGGAGCTCTTGCAGATTTATGCCTGATTTATGAAGTTGCATAGTTACAAAAGAAATTTGAGTAGATGGTCTCATCCTCTAAGCCTGATTTTAGAATGATTCTGACAAAGCTCACAAATAATGCAATGAAAAATTAATTATCAGAGGAAAGAATTGTTCTTTTTCTATGGATTTGTTTTATGTTTGACTCAGGAACTACACGGTCGTCAACTCCAAGGTCATCGCTGTAACTGTGAGACCGGAGCCCAGGACGAGTGAGTCTCACTTGGAGATCGAACTGGCTCACCTGACCAATGTAAGCGCCAACGACATCATTTCTTTATCCTATCATAACAACAATTACGCCCTGACATATATATGTTAACTTTTTGGTTTTTACTCTTCGTCTGTAACCAAATACTGTAATTCCTTTCCTGATAAGATTCTGCTAAGATTCTTTTTATTTATTTAAAGGAGAAACACATATTTGAATGTGACCACAGCTCAAACCTGCGTCTCTTTGTAGGCCTGAACACAAAGGTGCTTAAATGGCCCAATAATTAATTTCCAAGTCGGATAATTACAAGGACAATCCTTTTTATGATCCAGACCTTGTTTTCCATCTGAGAGATAAAAGACATGCAATTCTGAAAGGGTCAACAAACCCTGAAATGTGCTGGAGTAATGGAGTTCTTATTACAATTTATGGTTTACGGTGAAGGGAAAAACAGAGAAGGGCAAATGTGACATTTGTTTATAGTGTTGGAGGAGGCGGGGGGTAATTAGAATGATCATCAATGGTCGTCAAATTTGCACAATGAATTTTTTTCCTGTCTTCCAGGGAACGATGCAGCCTTACTGTGCACTGTGGGACAGCGCTGTAACGTAAGTAGAATGTTTTCTAAAGAATTAACAAGGCGCTGTGGCTTATACCTGGTCCTGAGGACCAATGATGTTTTGAGCGTGTTTGTGAAACTCAGCAGACAGCTGGTCTGTGTCCAATGATGTGGCAGAATTTGGTCATTTCTTCATCGGAGCCTCTCAATGTCTCCCTGGAGACCATACATCACAGATGTGGTGTGTAGTTTTAAGGCCTTTGTGATTAACACCTACTGGCTGAGGGCCAGTAAATGTACTGTGGTCTTGACTGCACCAGGAACTGACAGCACTGCCTGCAGTGGGAGATTTATACTAAACCCCAGTGAATGTCCTGAACATTGAATATGTTCTAAAAAAAATTATATTGAAAATGTTATTTTTGTGTTTAGTTTAGTTTGTATTTAATTTAACAACTATTAAAAGGCACATTTAGTAACAGCAGGTTTCATATTCAGGTTCATACATATTTGACGAGAAACCAATGCCATCAAGGCATCTGCATATTCAATTCCAAATTTAATTAAAATTCTTTTCAAATAAAAGTATACAGAAAATGACTTGGATTTCAGTGTTGAAAAAACTCAATAAAAGGCTGACATTTAAATGTGTAAATACTTTTATACAAACCATACAAAATGATAAGTCAAAGGAGAGAGCAGGTTCAGTACTGTGAGGTTTCTTCTAGGTCTAAATATATCATTTTTGAAATGATAAAACTCATATTATATTAAATACATAGATCTGCATGTCTCCACTGGTCAGTTCTGGAAACCCAGAGCACAATCTACAATGCAGCAGGTTTATTACAAAAAGCAAAACCAAGTAAACTCACTAACAGGATGTTAGTGCAGAAGCTTAAAGTGAATATAAATTAAGTATAAGTGTTCTGATTATGAGGAAATATATTAGAGAGGAAAAACACATTAATGACATCTATTCCTATTTACATTTAAATTCATTAAAACTTTTTTAGCTCTAAATTTGATGTGTTTGATATGTGTCTTTGTAAGTTTGGTGTTTTTGTCCTGCCAGCTTGGTGACGTGACGTTGTCTAAGTTATTGTGACTTATCTGTGTCCCTTTGGCTCTCCTCTGGCTTTAGGGAACGTTTTTTTGTTTGTTTGTTTTTCTGGTCAGTATGTAAAAGAAAAAACAGATTTGTGTACAGGACTTTGAATACAAAGCATGGAGAGTGTCATACACTGTAATGTGTGGGGGAAAAAAGCCCTTTGTGTCAGGCACCATTTGTTAAATGTGATGAATCATCACCGCTCATACATTTGTTTGGGTGAGCTGCGAGCGGACACACAGTTGTCCTCCTGCTGTTGCATCTCCGTGAGGAACTGCTCCTCATTGGTTAATCTGCGTGTGTATTCAAAACCAGACCAAAAACCTGCCCGTGAAGTGTAACTCCTAGCTACAACCTGCGACCTAAAAGCAGAACATTAGTGCCTTTTGAACTAGCCTCATGCTAAAGACGATAAGTAGGTAGCAAAATGTAAATTATTTTTTACCTTATAAAGCTAATATGGTTCTCATTATTTGAACGTAGGAATGGATTTTAATTAAAATTGTACGAGCTGAGGCAACTAGAATAGCCTTTATTCTAGTTTCCTTATCAGTGGCTATAAAGGCAGCTGCGCTTGAGTCAGTGAAGGCACCACTTCATTTTCAAACAGCACGAGAATGCGTGCTTGGTGCGTCCTCTATCAGTGTATCTGAGGACAATGTACTATTTTTGAAGCAGAGAAAATACAATTGGGACGATTGTGCTCCCTTCTCTTTTCACTGACTTTCACCAACTCACTCCATAATATCAGCGTTTCTCTCCACTCCACCCAAAGTCATTACAATCAAAGCATCACTGAGTGGCTCCGCAGATCGATTATCCTGTTCATTTCAAACAGTTGGCTCATCCTGGTGCAGAACAGGAGCCACTCTCAGGACTGATGAAGGGAGTAATACACCATCTGTCAGCCATGTTGGCTCAAAGCGGACGCGAGCGTTGACTATAACAATAAGGACAAGAAAAATGGTTTTTAGTTGTGGAAAAAAGGCTGTCTTTAGTATTTACTGCTCTAGTGACTCATGTCATCTAAAGATTCTCACTTTTTGTTACAGGATTTTGTTTAATATGTAAATTTGAGAAAAAAGACAATAAAGTAAAATACTGTAAACATACTTGGGGTCAGATACAGAGCTTTGCAGTACACTTGAGCAAAGTGTACTGCATGTTTCTTTACCAATGACATACACTGAGAGTTCCCTACTATATCCTCACGGTCCAATCACTCTTCTTCCCCCTGTTTCATTTTACCAAGATATATTATAAGTCAGTTCTACCCGGCAACTCACACCTATGTAGTTTCTTCTTCCACGTCCTGATTGGCTCGGTACAGTAGCTCGGCCATAAATAGCTTGTAACTTCAGCAAAGAGCACAAATAATGTGTGTTTGTGCAGCAGACAGTGTGTGGCTGTTTCTCACACTTGTTTCTGCACAAACTGTAATCGTACACACAAATTATATCTTGTGCGAGACCCGACAGAGTTGAAATACACCAACATTGCCGCCTCGCTCGCTCACTGTTTCCAACGACTCTTTCTTTCTTTCTTTCAGACACTCTCACATTTAGACGTCTGTACATAAAATAAACTGTACATTTCAATCGAACGTAAATGCTTACTGTCATACTGACGGGCCTGGTAAACAAAAACAAAAACAGAATTCTCATCTGGCTTCAAGTTAGTCCATACATCTGCAGGGCAAAGTTCAGTTAAAGAAAAATACTGAATACTTTTCACTTCTAAGTTTGGTAAAATACCATTACAAGTGCTGTGCAACACGAACTACATTCCTACTAGAAATATAGCATTTGAATTTAATGAAGTAGTAATTAGAACAGCATTTGGCCACACAGATACATAGGGTCAGTGTTGCTGCCTTACAGCCAAAGGTCACTGGTTTGATACCCGGTGGCCTGATACCAGTAATTTAAAATCTGATCTGACTAGTAGTATTTTTATTTGTGTACTCACAGAGCAAAATACAATCAAGTTATGTTGGAATGAATGAATGAACTAATGTTATGTTCTGATTGCCCTGTGATAGTCTTTACCTTTCAGCCAATGAGAGTTCAGGCTCCTATTTTAGTCTTAACTTCAAGAAATCACAATAATGCAATAAAGTTTGATTATGTTCAGCTTAATGAATCTTGGAACTCATCACAATTTAAGTGGTTTGAACAAATCACAAATTTACTTGGATAACAGTAATTATTTGTCTAAGCTGTGACTAATTCACCAGAACACGGGAATTCCGTAATGGCATTACGGCTAGTTCTCGCCTTTCTCTTGCAATTAGTTTCACAGTCCTCGGAGTCTTTGTAAATCCGTGCACAGAGAGCTTTTCATCACTGGTTGTCAGGATCACAGATGTTTTTACGAACCCTCCCTGAATACACAGCAGTGGTGTAACGGCGTAATATCAAACTAACAGGGAAAACCTGCTGCTGCAAACATCGCAACAACTTAGCATCACGGCAGCATCACAACGCATCACCGAGAGGTGACATGTTTTCTGAAGGTGGTCAATCCCACTATAGTTGTACTGGTCATTGTAGTACTCTGTGGGTGTGCCTGTGATCTTTATGTACCTGTATGCAATCCAAAATGAGAGAAGAAGAGAGGTTACAGTGGACAGTGGTCAGTGGTCTGTGGTCAGTGGTCAGTGGTCAGTGGTCAGTGGTCAGTGGTCAGTGGTCAGTCAATGTGCTTCACTTAAATACATGCATTGACATTTTTTTAAATTAAATAAAAATAAATTATATAATTATAGCGAGCTAAGTTTCTCACAGAATATATAAAGTACATACAATTGATTGACAACTGCAACAAAGCGATAAGCGATAATAAAAACTGAGGCTTGTATTTTGTATTTTTTGGCTTTTACCCAAATCGTATTTATTTATTTAAACTTCATCTTACCCTTGAGATAAAACGTCTTTTCCGAGGCAGATCAGGCCAAAGGGGTTCATCAGGAGAATATAATCCATGAATAAAACAGAAACCTGACATGGATTTTAGAAATCATCAAAAAATCATTCCGAGCAGTTCAAAGGTAGCAGTAGCATTCTTGAATTTAAAAAGTCCCAGGGAGGTAAGGAGCTGCAGCTGAAGCAGCAGGTGAAGTAGTTTCAGTAGTAGAAGTATAACTTGCTTATGAATGTCAGTCCCAAAAAAACACATATTTTGAAAAATATTTTTTAGCAATAAATCAAGCTGAGTAGTAGTAGAAGTAGTAGTAGTAGTAGTAGTAGTAGTAGTAGTAGTAGTAGTAGTAGTAGTAGTAGCACTATGAGAAAAAAACCTGTAGAATTAACCTAAGATCTGTGAGTACATCCGTATAACCAAAAACCTTTGTTTTGTCTTTAATGCAAGATCTTTCTTTTCATGGTGAGATCTGAAGAACCTTATTAAGATCTGGCCACGATCCCTTCCCTCTCCACGCCTCTGTATCTTCCTGACAAATGCATACAGTTCATTATCTCCCTCGTCCGCTACCTGTTAGAAGATCCCTTCACTCAGGATTAATGGCATCACTTCCTGCGGCCAGAAATGATGTCCACTGTTAAAGGAGCATTATATTTTACTGGAATGGCCTGCTCCTTCTCAACCTTCCTGAGACTCACATTTCAATACAACAGCAATCAAACAAACTGTAGCGAAAAACACGACAACAAACGCACACTTGTTGACATTTTCAAACAGTAGATTTGTCTATTATTTATTTATTTATCTATTTATTTTACTACGTGTTGACAGTCAGCCTCACTGAGATCATTCTGAACACGTAAAAACGTCCATCTCTGATGAGATCTGTGATGGATGTTGTATGTATTTTCCCCGACATTGTTTCCCCCACTCCCCTAACTGTCATTTTGTATCAGACTTTTACGACTTGAATAGAATTTTTTTATAAAGTGCATCACTAAAGGTGCATTCTTAGTCCCGGTGGTGTCTGGACCTGAAAAATATAGTCTAGACATATTTATTGTAAGCAAAACAGTGCATACTCTGTCGGTGGACATTCACCTCACGGAGCCGGACAGTTCATCTGGTCTGACCATCATGAGATTATGAAAGTGCCTCGGTAATTTAAATCTGTCAGAGTTAAGTCAAGAGCAGGCACACTAGTGTAATTTAACCAGCGCATATTACTGTTTTACATAAATCTAATCATCTGACTCACCCATAATGAATCAACAAGAGCGAGTGATGCATTTGACTTCAGGGACCAGTGGTTCCCGCCTGAGTATGACAGGATGTTAGAGTAAAAACCGTTAAACCAATATCATAGCGTTGACTCATTTTGACGACTGAAAATCTCAATTCTTACCTCAAATTATGGCTAAATCTTTACCCTGAAAATGTGGCTCCATCCTGCTAACATTAACAGCTGGCTTTTTTTCTTTTTTGGGTTTAAAATTATATTTTCAACCAGAATATGTCAATTGTCAAAAAAATAGGAAACAATTATAAAAATATGTGGAAGAATATACAGTAGCTGCTGATGAGAACAGCACCTACAGTATGACCTCTGGTCACACAATGAAATCGCCCGATGATTCATTTTATATAATTTATATTTCACACAAGACTTTTGAAAAATATATCTTTAACTGAAAATGTGTTAAATTTACAGAGCAAACTTGGTTTTAAATTCACCGTGTGCTAAAGTGTTCAGACAGTAGTTGTGTCATTTGTCTCACTGCGGTTAACAACGGTAACTTTTCTTGAAGTCGCAGGTCAGGCATTTAAATTAGAGACATTGTATAAACCATTAAGACCCCTTGAAAAAATTATGTTCAGCGATAAATACATGTTTTCTTAGAATGTTTTAGGGAGAACTTTAATTGAAATCCAAAGCCTAGAGCTGAGGGCGAACGTCATTAAAAGGTGAATGGCTCCTCACAGAATGTTAAAATAGATATTACAGAATTAAAACGACACTTTTCATTAGGTACAACCTCTTAAATGGCCACCCTTGAAATAATAGCCGTCTGCACCTTTTGCACTGATCCATTGCATTAATTTAAACTGTAAGAAAACAACATTAATCCTCAGTGAGACACTGTAAAGCATGAGCTGTCTGTTAGCTTTATGTGTGCAGTCTGGGAGCAGAGCAGAAAAGCATGCATCAGTCACAAACCAGTTAGGAGTGGATGGGGAGTACAGCATTATGTGCTCAATTACTGCAGAGTAATGGTCAGACCTGGTCATTGGGGCCACCTGGCTTTTCTTCTTCTAACACACACCAGTCATTACTGGTTGTTCAAAATTGCACAAGACTTCAGAGGATCACACATCAACAGCTTGTGAACTTCAGGCATTCAGATCAAAATCAAAATGAGCTGCGGGACCGAACATTCATCCATCATGAACGGCAGTAAAACATTTAGGCTGATAGTGGTGGGTTTGTAGTATTGCAGGTAATTATCTCCCAGACTTTAGGACCTACATACCTAGTAGATGCTGTTGACTATACCAACATGTATTTTTTAGTAGGTGATAAAAAGTGAGATTAGATTAGATTAGATTGAAATGGTTTGGATTAGATAAATTGGGGTAAGATCAGATAGGATAAGATGGAACAGAACAGGAGAAGAGAAGACTGGATTAGATTAGATTAGATTAGATTGGATTCAAACAGATTAAATTCAATAAGAATCAACGTGACCATTTTAGAATTTCCATGACATAAATAATATTGAAATACAAAAAGAAAAGTTACGAGCACAGAAGTAAAAAGATAAACAGAATTGTGTAAACTGAAAATCTATAGATTTGTAGGTAGTACACATACATACACAGAAGGTACAAGTATGTGGGTAGGAAAACTTTTAAGATGACGTTTCTGGGCTATATATAAATATATTAATGACTATGTAGTAAATGTGTACATGAGTAAATAGAGCAATGATAATTATAGGATTTTGTTACTGTAACGATTCTGTGTTTATATGAGTGGATGTGTGTGAAAATATGAGGCGGTAATAATAACATGACATATCTATTACCACGTGACCCCCTGGGTGTGTGTATGCCATGTCAGAAAGAGGATTGAAGGAGTGTTTCTCTGGAGGACAGGTGTTTGGTTGAACTTGTGACCACGGGCTGCGGTGAGGACTAGTTCCCGAGAGGATTCTACCGCTCGCCTGTTAGGTGTGGAAAGTTGTTTCCTGAGGTTGGAGTGATTGTTGGGGGCGCTGCTTTATATTTCTCCACAGTTGTGAGTGGTGTGGAGTCAGGACTGGCTGCAACCATTGGCGATTCCTCCGCGGGGGTGGTTTGACTTGTGCGCTGGTTTTTACTTACAGCGTTTTTCAAAGACGGAGGAGACGTTTGATACAAATATTGTTTTTTAGTGGAAAAAAAATCAATCCCAAATGTATTCACCTCACATGAGTTAACTATTGGTAATCTGCTCTGCAGAGTAGAGACATTCTGCGCCAGTGTGCGTTTATTTCTTCCCCCATTGCATCAACGCACCCCACCCCCTCCCCCCCCACTCATAGCAAAGAGGAACAGAGTATCATCAGTCTGATGCATGTCCGCCGTTTCCAGGATGAAAATCTCCCAAAGGATGCATTTACAGACTGCTAATTAAAACAGTTAAGGCGGGCGGGAATTAACGGAAAAGGGGAGAAAACGACATAGAGCAGCGTTAGATAGAGAGGAAAAAGAGAGGGGGAGAGAGCGAGATAGGGAGAGGGAGAGAGGGAGAGAAGAGAGAGAAAGGGAGGGAGAGGGAGAAAAGGGAGAGGGAGAGAAGAGAGAGGGAGAGGAGAGAGAGGGAGAGGAGAGAGAGGAAGAGAAGAGAGAGGGAGAGGAGAGAGAGAAAACAATAGGACGGACTGTGGCGGTGTGTTTTTGTTTCTGTTTAAATCTGTAGCATCTTTCAGCACCGGGTTTGCTTGGACAGCTCCGTGTGATTCCCCCTCCTCCCTCCGTTCTCCTCCTCCTCCTCCCCCTCTTCCTCCTGCGTGTCTGCCTCTCTCTGCTGAAACGCTGCTTGGAGCCACACAAGAACCGAGTCGATGCGTTTATTTTTTTATTTATTTTTTAAAAAACCACCAGAGCTCCACATTTTAAACATTGAATTTTAACAAAGAAAAAGCCCAGAGCGATGTCTACAAGTCGGGTGAAGTCGTGCCTCCGCCGCCGACACTACGACCACCAGCACCGCTGGAATTAAAGCTGATCTCCTTCTGCTTGGGGTTTTTTTTTTCTTTTTTTTTTCTTATCCTGCTATTTTCTTTCTGCAGGAACGACTCCTGGGGAACATGGTCCACAAAAGGATGCAAGACGGTGCTCACAGATGCATCCCATACGAAATGCTTATGTGATCGTGTGTCTACCTTCGCCATTTTGGCTCAGCAACCAAGAGAAATAGTAAGTGGGCTGTTGATTTGTGATTCAGTGTGGGTTCTGTAGGAAGATGTCCAGGTGTGTGTGTGTGTGTGTGTGTGTGTGTGTACTGTGGCAAATGTAAAAGGCAGTCTTTGTTGTGCTAAATAGTGAAAATACTTACATGAATACAAATGAATAGCATTTAATCTTAGAAATAAAAATGATGAATAGTTGCTTCTCTGGCCTGGGGGTGGAGGGTTGGAGGGTTGGAGGGTTGAGGGGGTGTTGTGACATATTTTGCATGTAGATAACTCAGTGTCCTCATGCACACTAAAGGGTGTGTGCATGCAGATGCTAATGCAGATTGGTGTTTCTTCTCCCCCACCATCAAACCAATCCCATATCCAGAAAAGATGGTTAAAAACTGCAGTTCTTGGGGAAAAACAAATCAACTATAAAGTTGTGTTTAACTTTACTGTCAAGAGGAGCAACAGGAAGTGTTTAGTTTGAACATAAACAAATGTATAAACTGATGACTGCAACACACTGCAAGAAAAGTTATGAGGCAGAGGCGATGTATGATTGGACCAGAGAAAAGCACAAGCTAACACACTGGAAGGTTCCTGTAATAACAGGGTAATCGGGATGAAGTATGAAAGGAGCATCGAGGGTTAGGCCTTTCTAAGCTAAGATAAAACTCAGAGTCCACCTGTTTCAACTGATGCAGGTTCAGAATAAGACTGGGAAGACTTCAGGCTTGTCACATTATACACTGTATGATGTAAAAAGTCTGAAGAAATCTCAGGCTTCAGTCCAGATCTTTGTCCTATTGATAAAGTCTGGGCCTTCATGACCAGACAACGATGATGATTCAAGGGATGTTTTTTTACAGATGAAGTTAAAGAGTTTGATTTGTGTTGCAGTTATTGATAAGTTTATTTTTAATGGATGTAAACATCAGTGAAATGAATTCAAAGCTTCTCTTTTTGAGTGCAGTCCTCAACATAATTGTAAATGGAAGTTGACTGTTGAAGGTTTAAAATAGGCTGAAGACTCGTCCCGACCAGGATGATAGAGTAATTACAGTGAGAACAGAGAGTATTTAAACAGTAGCTTCATCACGTGGTTCTCAGCAGAAACTCAACACCAGCAGCTCAGTTTGTCTTCCTTCAACAATGTTCTGACCGTGTGTCTAAGGAGAAATCACTTTTGGTTTGGATTCAAGAAACTATTTTACTGGCCTACTTTCAAGGAAAACAACACAACAAGTGTCCCGATTATCTGCAGGCCTGTGATTGACCAGAACTCCTGGTATTCACATGTGGGTGTCAAAAAAAGGGAAGAAAAAGTTAGATAGAATCAAACCAGAAAATACACTCAAACCTAGATTTCCTTCAGCCTTTAGTGTTTTATAATAAAATCTCTGACACAGACAGCTGGGAAGTTTACTGCATGAATTTTAACAACCTTCAAAGCCCACGCATACATCTCCACCGTCTCCACAGTGCATTCAATTACCCACTGGTGAGTATTCAGATTGGCAGTATTTGTTTTCCTTGGTTCCCTCTCTGGGCAACAATAAAGATTTACTGTTGTGCATGAACTGCGTCCAACCTCCTCCCCTCCTGACTGCTCTGCTCTGCTCTGTGTCTTTGACAGACCATGGACTTCTCAGGGGTCCCATCTGTGACACTGATAGTTGGCTGTGGTCTCTCCTGCCTCGCCTTGATCACACTGGCAGTGATCTACGCTGTGCTGTGGAGGTAACTGACACATTCTCAAAGCAGACGGTCCGCTCACAGCAGGGATGCACTTTCTCGTATTTGCATCACCGTTGCTAGATCTTTAGCCGCAGAGTGGAGACAGCTAAAAAAAGTCATTGTTTTTTTTTTGTTTTTTTTAGATACATTCGCTCTGAACGATCCATCATCCTGCTGCATTTCTGCCTGTCGATCATCTGCTCCAATATACTCATCCTGGTTGGACAAACACAGACCCACAATGTGGTGAGTGTCATTTAAAGATTCATTAGGCTGGGTTTACAAAGTGTGGAGGCTCATGGGTTTGTTTTACATATCAAAGGGTTTAAGTGAAGATAATTGCACAGTGAAAATATCCCAACCAGCCTCCGTGTGGCCTTGAACACAACTCAGCACTCTTTATTCTGTGAGCTTCACTCACTGATCTGAGTGGAGATATTTATATATATAAAATATTTATTTATATATTACATATATCCTTTTTTATGATTTCAGCTCAAACACAGTGACATGTTCCCTCAGTCAGGTTGATGCACGTTACTCTGCTATTCCACCATTTTTTACAGAAAAGTCTAGAATCCAATGTTATTCACTTGGCATTTCCTTTAAAAAATGAGGCCTTTTGTACTCCCCACGTTGGCTCTGTCATTGAGGATAGGAACAAGAGCGTAGCTCATGGATTACAGCCACTCTCCCGCCCATTACTCTAATTTTCTTTTATGTTTTTTACAGAGAAGCATTCATATTTCATCCAAATGGAGAAATTAAGAGCTCCTGGTGCCTCTCAGAGCTGAGGCTCCACTCTGAATTGGCTCCCCACCTCAGTCTTTACTCAGAACTTCCAGTGTCCTCTGACAACACAAAGGCTTTATTAATGTGTTGGCAGAAAGACGTTATGTATCTTTAAATCCAGTTGGATAAAAATAGCTGTGAAATCAATCAAAACAATGAAGAAACTAAGGGGCGTGTGTTGGCCAGAATCTGGCTGATACAATACAGAGGCAACGATACCATACATTGAGATACTATAGGTATATATTGAGTTAACACACAATGCTGTTACATGTTAAAAATCATGCTACTAAAATTGGAACAGAGGGATCAGCATTGGTGCTGTACGATACGGTATTGTGAAATGAAATATGGAGATATTTCAGTGTATTCTCATCTTATTTACGTTTGTTCAAAATCAAAATCAAAGCACGACACAGATTGCCTATAAAGCACAGGGCATTATAGACACTCGAAGAGAACCACAACAAGAAATTCATAAATAAATTTAAAAAATAAATGCAGATTTGTTGCATTTTTCATGAAAAAGAGAATCAGGATTCTGTAGCTATGACAAGGACGACACAGCATCAGTTCTAATATGGAGGAATGAATCGGTCAAATGTGACTCCGTAACTAGCCAGTAAACAAGTGGCTAATGTAAGAGATTGTTTGGCAAACAGCGACTGGGGATTTACAGGCTGTCTAAATAGATGCACTTCAAGGTTAATTGACAGCACTACCCAATGACGCAGTGTCCAATTGCAAACATATTCTTATTCCAGGGACACACCAGTCCCTTATATATAATATGCACTGGGCTTCGGGGCATTTCAAAGCCGTGCTGATATGAAGCCTTGTCAGATTTAATCAGGACTCTAGTTATCTTCTGTCTCGATCATGAGAGCACCACTTTACATGGAACACTCGCTCCATGTGCCTCTAATAGGAAAATCTGTCTCGGAATATCTTAAACCAAAATGATGTGATTTTTTTTTTTGGAAAACCCGGTGACGTGCCGAAGCTTACATTTCAGCGAGGCACTGAGTGACTCGACAAACCCCTGTGGCTGACTCACCGGCTGCCAAATTACAGCCACACAGTCTGCTCTGTTTGGATTGGGACGGTGTACATTACAAATGAAAACCCAGCAACAAATAGTCTTAACATAACAGAACATCAGACAGTTGATTCACTGAAAATTTTTGGTTATTTTTTTATATTTTTACAAGTTGAGATGTCATCATCTTTGACCTTTGCAACCCTCAAACACAGCTTAAGAGCGAGACAAGGTTTTTAGGGCAGTCACATTAGAGGACCAGGGAATGTTATATCAGCTGTTAGTATCTTAAGGTAAGTTTTTTTTTGTAAAAACTTACAAAAACAGTCATTGTTTGGGATTGAACACAGCTCATTGATCTGTTTTATCGCTTACTTCAGTTTCTTTGACTTCGTACATCTGATTTTATGTTATTTTGCAATCAATTATGGCAGAATTGTTGCAGTGAAGAGAAAAGATGCCTTATAGTAAATGTAGAAAACATTTGTACTTCCAACATACTGGTGTTCCTGTGTTCCACCTTGAACATTTCTTCTCCTTAGTTATAATACGTTAGTACAACCTCATGTTTGATATTGAACCTCCTGCATAAGCCACTTTGAACTGCAGGCCTTTGAACTGTAGAAATATATGTAAAACACCTGTATGGGTTTAATTGCCAGGCTTTTTGTATCTGCTACACTTTTCTTTAACTCTTGTGGGGAGTGAAGTAATTGGCTCCAGTGTTTGTGGAGTCAGAGCTACTCGTCATGTAACAGAAAACCAGCTCCATGCTGTGGAGGTGTCCTCCAGGAGCAGGGAGTCAGTGAGTCACCTTCTCCTCTCTTTGCTTTTTACCCATTTCTCTGCTGCAGTTCAGACTGTAGACTGTTGGGTTTACAGTCAGGTACAGTAGAACCTGGGAGTCTCAGAGACGGAGAACGTGTTGCTGTGAGCTGCACATGAAGTTGAGTAAAAATCCACATATTGTTATTTTGGTCCCAGGCTTCGTCACTGTCTGTCCTTTCAGAGGAGCTCATCAGCAGAGGAACAGGAATTTCTCAGCATTTAATAGAATCACCAGAGCTGGCTCTTATCACATGTCATGGAATTACATTTGCCCAGAGTTGGCTGTGTCTGGAACACCCATCTCTCTCTGATGAATGAACTTCCTGATGCATTAGAAGATTAAAAAGTGATCAGTTTCTTGCCATTAAGACACTGCATGTCATGTATCAGCACAAATGTCTTTTTCAGAACTGGCATCTGGTGTAAAACGAATATCTTTATAACTATTGAAAACCATTTTAATTAAATGACTAAATCAATACTTGACTCACGATTCAATGTATATGGGAGGATAAACAACTCTTTTACATACGTAAATTAAATAATTACAGGCTTTAAATGAAGTTTCTTTGGTTCAAAACTTTAGACAAAACAACAAAATCTACATTTCAAGGAGACATCACATTAGCCAACAACTCTAAAATAGACGTCAGATGTCAGAGTAAGAGCACAATCATTTAGCATAATGACAGTGTTTTGAGCTGTTATTGCCACCAGTCTGAAATAAACCCAAACGTATTGGTGTGTCTTGGCACTTTAGAAACTCTTAATGTGATCCCGGTGGCAGCAACAAAAAGTCATTACAGCTAAGAAGAATGTGACCATGAATATTGTTCAATGATTTTCTAAGGAAATGTTAAGGACAAAGCTGCTCATGAGATCTTTGTGCTTGACTAAAGTCTGCTGAGATGGTTTTTTTTCTCTCTCTCTCTCTTATCGCAGTATTTCAGGGAATTAAAGTTCTGCGATTGCACCAGTAGAAATTAAAATTCCACAAATTTTTTTCACAAAAACTTAAAATCAACAAGTTGGTATCCTGAGTTATCAGTGTGCTGTTTCCAAAGTCACTGTCTTTAGCTCAAACCCCCAGAAGAGAGTTTGGTGAAGTCTTGTGCTACAGTTGGTTTTGAAGTAAAAGCCTTGCAGTAGAAGTACAACTTAGCAGTGTTTGTTCAGTGATTTTCTGTGGCGCTCTGCCTCCTCCTCCACCCTCACCACCATTACTTTGTTGTTTGGTATTTCATTGTCCAGCACACATGAGCACCCACTCCATCAAGCACCAGGGCACTGGTTGCCTCTTTCGCCCACACTGATTCTGAAGACTAGAAGCTGACTTCGAAAACGGATTCACTGCGGCTTAGATGCTCGTTCAGAAATCCTAAAGTTACCTTTAACCTGGTGTGGAGTTAATAAAAAAACGGTTATCGTAGATTTTCTTTATGACTTTTATGTTGTGAATATGCTAAAACCCATGTGTTAATCACATATGCCATAATGTTATAAAACACTAGGCGACAGATGTCAGTGACTGGGTTTTCAGTTCATTATATGTGAGACAGTGTCAGCACTGACCTCTCGTTATTGAGATGGCTTTAAAACAACCCATCACCCTGTAATCTTTCCTTCCTGTCGATGTGGGCTTCAATATGGTCCCTTACACACTTCCTCTGTTTCCATGGTTACTTCAACATCTTCAGACATTTGCCTTTTTAAAGGGCAGCCTAAACTCCAGGTTTCAACCTCATTTTTTGCACAACTGCCAGCGTCCTGTCACAGACACTGTCACAAAGTACACATAAGTACCTCAGTGTGTATTGTCAGATTATTATAATTGTTAGTTTATTTGTTGGGATAAGGATTACATTGTGAAGATGGCTAAATTAACCATGAAACGTAACCATTGCATGTGACCTGTTTCCAGGAAACGAGACGGGCTCTATTTTCAGCACCTTGGAGAGCGCCCATGCTACAATACTAGAATTAGCTATGGGTGTGATTCCACAGTCAGCGGGGCTACTGTATACGACAAACTCAGCAGGGTTCCTCTCTTTTCTGCCACTTCCACAAAAAAACGTGTTAAAATCACTTTTTCTTCTCTTTCCTTCCACTATTTGTTTATGTTTATGTATTTATAATTATCCAAAAAGGAAGGAGAGCGACTGAAGTCCCAGATACAGAGATACAGAGAGGTCACTTCTTATTAGACAAGCACACGCACGTCGTTACCCACACTCAGCTTTTTTTTCCCAGCAGTGTGAAGCAGAGCTACATCTCTGCTGATGTCAGGTGTAACAGCAGATGTTATCACTGTCCAGTTTTTGTTCAATCTTGACGTTTGTTCTGGGAATTAATTAAAAGGCTTTGCTGGCATCTGCAGAATCTCTTCATATTCACTGATTGATGAAATGGTAGAAGGAGTGGCTGGTTGGTTGGTTGGTTGGTTAGTTGGTGGGTTGGTTTGTAACAGAGTTTAGTTTTGACTAAACGATACTCAATCACTTTGCTTGTTTTATGATCAATCCTGAAATGTTCAAATTTTATGTCATTTCTCTCTGACACCCTGGTGGCAGATACAATCCTACTACTCTCAACAGATATTGATCAAACATTTTGTACCAAATACAGAAAAATAGAAGAAGAGAAAACCCAAACAGAGGGCGGGGTTCCTGCAGTATTAAATGTAAAATGTGAAATTAAAAGAAAATCTACCGTTTAGTTTAAGAAATTCCCTCCCTCTACATATTAGTCACAATACTTCAGGCAACCACGGGGTACTATATTTAGCATATACAGTAATGTGGATTATTTTTAGTGAACGTGGATGTGGCCTACAGCGTGAGTGTGATTTCTTAAAGCAGCCTCGCACACCTGTAATTACTAAACGAGCAGGTGGCGTGTGTCACGGGAGCCGCACGTGCACTGATTTAATATGTTGCTTTGACACTTTCATCTTTGCAGCATTAGCAGGTGTGGGGGAATTAAACCTGCCTCCTCCACTGAACCGTATACTCATTTCTGTTTTAAATGCGAATGAAAATTATTTCCTTTGGAACACCTTTCTTCTAATGTCGATTTGTCAGTTTTATTTTTTTTTTCTAATCTCGTTAAAGAGCGGAGACTGGGATTGGGAATCTTGAAAAGATCTAATCTAATTGGTTTGCAGAAAATGACACTTTTCTTTTGGAAAACTATGTCACTAGTTTTTCAGTTAATGTATAATCATAACACAGAATATAATCTGATGAGGGATTAGATCTTGTGTTTTAGAGATTGTATCTCTTTATTTTAAAACACACACCTGTCAGTCAAAGCCAAAAATATATTGTGGGATATTGTATGACATTCACGTTAATCCACTTCGTGAATCTCTCCAAGTACTTCCTACCTGAACAACTGCACTATAGCAGTACTGTCTCCGTCTTCCTAGTCAGGCAGGATTATTGTTTTCCTATGAACTCGGTGAACACTACAGGGGATGGATGGGTTTAGTGCAGTTTCCTCAGTGGGAATCTAAAGTAAATGGAGGATTTCACAGTATGGTGTGGATGCCCCGGGACGAGATAATACGTTTCAATCTTTCCCTTATTGTGAAGTGGCTCTCAGATTACCATAATTTACCACTGCGAACAATCCTTGCAGTGAAGAAGAAAAAAAAAAGGAAAAAAAACTTAATCTCTTCTCACACGCAAATCACGAAGTGTAAGGTGACAAAAAAGAGAAGGAAAAAGAAAAAAAAGAAAAAGATAAGAACACTTGTGTTTTTAAGTTTCCTCTCTAAAAGAGTGGAGATGTCTCTGTTTGGACCACAGATGGACAGAGCAGTGAAGCTTGAAGTACAGCTACTCTGTCAGGCCTCACTGCTGTCGGCTGTGTCTTCCACCTCGTGCGTTCTCGAGCACTCAGCGGTGTGGTGGTCTGTCCCCCTCCCCTCTGTGCAAAACAGTTGACCTTGGCTCACATGCCTCCAGGTGGGATCCCCAGCATACTAATGAGAGTCAGTGCTATGCTGAGGTTTCCTCTCTCTCTCTCTCTCTCTCTCTCTCTCTCTCTCTCTCTCTCTCTCTCTCTCGGCCAGTCTGCCTCTGATCTTTGCTACCGTGTGTGCCACCTCTGTTGTGAAAGTTCAAACTGTCCCTTCTCTCATTCGCTGCACAGATTGCTGTGTCTCTGAGCAGAGAAGAGGGGGAAAAAATCAAAATGATTAAGTTATAGATGACATTTGAGCGAAGTTTTTCTGTCTGATGTGGAGTATTTGTCCTGACATTCTACAAAGACTGTTTCAATCAAGGTGGATAAAACCTATGATAAAAATAAAATGAAATCTGCTCTTCTTTTTAATTTATTTGAAGGTCACAAACAAACAGTTTCAAGTGATCAGAAACTCCAATTTTAAAAGTGTAATGGACAGATTCACCACTAGGTTGATACATTGTTGCTGCATTTTGGTCTTTTGAAGTACCTTTGGCTGAGGTACTGTGTGGCTCACCATTGAATCCGTCGTTAATTACTTTCTCTTTTTATCGTTCAGGGCGTCTGCATCATGACAACGGCCTTTCTGCATTTTTTCTTCCTGGCGTCGTTCTGCTGGGTCCTGACAGAGGCCTGGCAGTCGTACATGGCAGTGACAGGAAAGGTTCGGACCAGGCTCATCCGCAAACGCTTCCTGTGTCTAGGCTGGGGTAAGAGAACACCGTTTAAACCTCCTTCTCCCACTGTGTGCTGCGACTGCTGCTGTATTATTCTGTTAAGGTCCTTGGTTTAAGGTGCTTTTCCACGTAACTATATCTGTTCAGTCATTGGTCGGTCTTCATCCTTTCAGGCTCTTGTGCTCTGTGAGTGAATGGTGCAGCCGTGAGGTTGAAGGCATCGACCTTGTGTCTTGATTAAAATCAGGGGGTTAGATTCAGGTTTTAGATTGGAGCAGAACCTTATCCGTCTAACAGCTTCAAAAAGAAGAGTTTGAGACGATTCAGACAACAACAAAAAAACTGAGACTCATTCAGTCTACAACTTTGGCCAATAAACAACCAGACGAGCTTCTCAGAAGGGTTTGTTTTGTGATCCCTGAAATGAAAAAATGCAGATGGAATGGACCAGCATCAAGTCCTCGAATCAAGAGATGACGTCAGGAACATATTCTCCTTTTTATGTGATTTACATCTCTATGGTTTCTCATCTGATGGCACGCCAATAGAAATATCTCTTCTTTTATATATATATATATATATATATTTACATATACAAAATCGATTTGTTAATGAAAGAGCCCACTCATTTTCTTGTTACCTAGCAACAAACCAGGCTCTCTCAGCCATTGCTGTGGCAGCGATTGACTACTGCAATAAAACTGGACAGAGGCCGTAAATCTGAAAATCTAAGATTTCAACTGAAATCAAGAGACGTTTAAATCACTGAAGGCGCAAACAAAACCTGGAGATCCCTGATGACATCAGCGGTACACGCCGGTACACTGACACCGCACCGACTCATATGTGCATTTAAAGAAGAGAGTCATTTATTCAATGAAACACAACCTGTTGTCTCCTGATTCCGCCGGTTTGAGCTGCGGCGCCTCCCGCAGACACTTTCCAGCTGCGGTGATTTATGACATTCTTGAGTACACTCGGCACTCTTTACCTCTTCAGCGCTGCAGAGAGCCACTGAATGGCCAAGGGGTCTTTCTCCTCATTCCTCCAGGAAACTGATTACATCAGTAGCACCTGCCTGTGCCGCTCTGAGGGGAGAAAGCGTTAATATTCTGCACACACACCAGTCAAGACCCAATCCATTACAGAGATCCATAATGAGGAGCAGCTACAGATTCCTATGTAGGAACAGTGTAGAACGTGGTAAAGTTAAAAAAAAAAAGAAACAACCTCAGAACACCGTAAGAAAATTTCACACTGTGTTATTTTCTGAGACTAATGGCACTGCTGCCATTTTGTCAAAGCAGATTCGGTTGCGGTGAATCCACTCTGTTTAATGACTAGACGGCACCGAGTCTGACTCCGGCTGAAGATTTATGGATTTATACACTCAGTTCTGACAAGTGAGGAGAAGAGCTCAAATAACTATTGATTGTTTTTCTTTTTCAGGATTACCAGCTTTAGTGGTCGCTATTTCGATGGGATTCACCAAAACCAAAGGCTACGGGACGCCCTTATAGTAAGTTTCCTTTCCTGTTTTATCCAACCTACTCTATATTCACACGATATTTTCATAAAAACAAGACGACGTGGCTCATGAATGCGGACGACTGCCATAAACTCGATGAGTTTTCAAAAGAGCACGGCAAGACTTCGATTCCAGCTGAGTTCTTCGTCTGCCGGGTGCCAAATGCATAAACACTGCTTAAAATCTCTTTAGCATTTTATTGCCCTCTGAAACTTGGAAAATAGGGTAACAACATATGGCACATCACCTCTAAAAGTCAACAGAAACCCAATTGTATGCTGGTGTGCACCATTAACTCGGATGTTAATGCATTGATGGGAGTTAAATGGTTTCCCCCTGCTTCCCCTGCAGCTGTTGGCTCTCACTGGAGGGCGGGCTCCTGTACGCCTTCGTTGGACCTGCAGCTGCTGTTGTTCTGGTAAGGTTTTAGCCATCAGATGTCTACTTTTTTTGATTATTATTTTATATACTGTATACTATATATACTCTATACTTACTCCATATAGTGGGGGATTTTTCATCCTGTTTATTTGTGATGTTCGTGACTGAATGGTTAAGAACTCAGTTCCCAAGTTTAAAATGCATTGTAATGCATTGACAATAATTTCAGCATCCATTCACTCATCATTAGTCTAATGCACAGTCGGTACACATGGTATTTGCTCACACTGTGGGAAAGATTTCTTGTTTCACCTCAAGCTAAAAATACCAATTTCAAAACCCAATCACAGGCCTCGCTGAGTTCAGGGCAGGAAGTAGGTCTATGCATAAGGGTCTGTAGACTGACTAATATTGTATCAAAACAGGTGCAACACACTGACAAAAATAACAACATCTACATGTTGTGATTTGTGGTATTTCTGTTCCAGCGATATACAGAATTTTCTTTGATTGATTTATCTCGAATAATAACAATTAATCACGATTAATCAGAATGACCCTGCAATTATTCAGATAGGAAATTGTAATTATTTGATAGCAATTATTTTAATACTATATTATGTTTTAATATTTATTTATTTTTCCATTTTCAATTTAAATACAGCTTGAATACACCAATGTTCTTTACTTTCTCCTACGAGAACCAAAGATTTATAATTGGTACATAATTGTCTTTCAAAGCCTTTGTTCGATGCACCTCCAGTTCTCAGCCGTGACACAAAGGCCACTGATATGTAAACCCGTTAATTCAGTTTCCATATCATAAGCTCAGGGTCAGTGTGGTACGACTGCGCTACACTGACATGGTGAGGCCTAACTATCGGAACACAACAAAGTCAAACTAATGAGCATCCATTTGGAAAACATGCTGAAGATCATAGGCCACTGAGGTCACAGTTATCCAGGTCATTTATGCATCCATATTTTTCCACATAATCTAATTAGTCATCCTGTTTTAACATGGTTCTACACAGAGCGTTACAAGAACATTGT